CGCCAAGCAGATGCTGCAGTTTTTTCGCATAGCCGACGATGCCATTTTTCATTTCGATCAACCCCGCCACCGCTCTTCGAACACCGCGCCCCAGTGGACCTCTTTTTGCCTGCGCAGCGCCGCCCATGTTGTCAAGCATCACCAGCGACCGCGCTTACCTCTAGCAGGCGCACAAGCAAATGGCGCAAGGCATCTAATCAGAGGAGAGGAGATGCGATCGGCGTGGTTCACAACGCAAGCGCTGCAGCGGATCGCAGGCCCACCCTCCCAAGCCGATTGATATCCCACGTCGGCTTCCCGCGCGCGCGGAGCACCGGAAAGCCCGCGCCACCGCTCGAACTTGACTTGCAACCAAGAGCACCTCCACAGCGAGATTGCCAGCTCCAGACCCACCAACCGCGCCAGCATCCACATCAATCGGCCCGTCGCGCAGCTACGGCGGCACGCCGGCCCCGGGTGCCCAGCCGATCTGCGCGCCATTTCTACCCAACAGCAGCCGGGCCATGCATTGCCCAGCTGAGCGGACATCCGTAGCTAACTACGACCCAACCAGCATCATGGCAGCGCGCAACAACTCCATTGATAAGGTGCACGCCCATCGCTGGCACGACTGGTCGACCACTGGAATCAAAGACTCGACACATGTGACTGCGGAGGTCTTGCTAGCGAAATGCCACTCGGTTCTTTGGCGCGTCCGCTGTTCCGACTTCAACCCCCGCAGCCCAACAAAACGCCGTGCGCAGACATGCCCAGCCCTGACCTACCAGCGCATGTCCACGTCGACGACGCCAGACCTGCAGGCTGAGCAGCGCCGCCACCAGCACCACACCTGGACACAATACACCAACCAGTTATTCTACATCAGCAAGCAAACCCTCCAGCAGCAATGGCAAGCTGCAGGCTCAAACGAGTTCTCGCGAGCAAGTACAAGTACGACATGATCGGCCACGTAGAGGCATTTTCCCTGCACAGCAGCTACACAAGCACGCACTCGCACAGCGCAAGATTTCTGCAGTACCGAGGGCCCAATGGGACATTCGAGCGAACAACGGCAGCCGCAGCGCGTGACATAACAACTCGTAAATGCGACGATCCGACCCACGATGTCAGCACGGCTGGCAACGCCAGCAGTTCCGCCAGCGATGTGTCCCGTCGCAAAGACCCCAGCACATAATGATAACCAGCAGCCAGAGCGACTCTTGATAGCATGCAGCTTTCACAGCAGCGGCCGACGCACCCAACCAACCCGCAGAACACAGCTCCCAACCCGTCTGCAATAAAGGCACCACGGCCACCACGATTACCACTCCGTTGCATATACCAAGTGCCACCCCCCATCCGACACTTCCACGGCGGTTTTTGGATGCTTAGCAGACGAGCCGCCGGAGCCTCGCACCACCCAGATGAAAGCAACCATTCTGTCCACCCATGGCACCGCTACTATTCGACCAAGCTGGAGATGAACACACACGACCGATCCCACGACAACGCAATCCCCACAAGTATTCAGACTAATAACCAGCCGATTACCCTTGAGCGATACAGCAGCACCAGCAGCAGTACATCCAATGCGTCAACCACAAGGGCCATCAGCAACGACCAGCAATAATTACATACAACGCCGCCACCTGGACCAGCACACCGTAGCTACAACAGCATCACACATATGACCAGCCTAAACGAGGACATGCACAACATAGTGGATGGTGGTCAGCCCCACTTGGCATATCGGGAGGGATGCGGGGAGGACAGCCTCCTTTGGATGCGTTAGTATTTCCAACAGCTGCATGACAAGACGTGCTATATCAATGCATCTTTTGCCGAGTACATTTGCGCGTCATGCAATTTCTTTGGGAAGTGCCCCACCGTGTGGTACCGCGCAGACCCAAACAGATCCATGTCTTCTTCAGCAGATGCCTATATCGTTAGGGTTTGGGAGGGGTTGGTAGTAGGGGTCGGGACAGGGGATGCTTATAACAACGTCTGATATTTAGCTACGTTTGCTCAGCAATCAGGCTCTCCCCCTGCAGAGCTTCGGCTCATACAGTACAGCATCTTTTGTATACTTGTCATTATATCTCTTCTCCCGTCGATATAGTGCCCCATCCGTCTCCATGTTTCGTCCTCGTCGATCGTGGTCGGTGATCATCGAGCCGTCGGTCCATGCCACGTCTGGTTACGGCCACGCGGCACTTCGCGATCACAACCACACGATGTTAGTCCGCAGTATGCCCAGAAAAAAAGACAGCACACGGGGCGATAGTGTCCACCGGACACACATGCACCAGTTCTCGTTTCAGCCCGATTGGCACAAGCAGTTGCCCACCCCCTGCTCGCAGCGGCCGTCCACCACTACCTTTTTTTTTCACCGCCGCACTCGAGGCACACACTGGTGCTACCGTCCGTGTAGAACGTATCGCATGTCCAGCATCGTTTTCTCCCTCGACCCCAGTAGCTGTAAACACATGGTTGGTGGCGTTCCCAGTACCAGGTGTTCAGCCCATCTCAGTGCCCCAATCATCCCCCAACGTTTCGCCACAACCAGTGCAGTCCGTCAGTCGACCTTGCTCAGCCAGTCACCCGCTACCCAGTTTATATTTTGCATGTCAAAGTCAGGCATACCGCGCAAAAGTTTGTTCGGGAGGAGGGGTCTGGGATGTACTGTTGGGTAGGAGGTGGGGTGGAGGGGTGCGACTTTGCTTGGGGGCGTGCTGACACGTCTGTAGGAAAGCAGTGTTTGTTCCCATTGCGGTCTGCAGACAGTATGACAACCACACAGAAGCCGCCCGCAGCTGTGTCAGTAGTTACTAGCATACCCTCCCCCTGCCCTTCTTTAAACTTAGTGTTAAGGTTATGATGGTATTTACTCTAATCCTTCACAGGTTGTTTGCTCAGTTACTCGACGCACGTGCGGGCATCTCGTCTTCTGCCAATTGTCCCTGCCCATGCTTATTTCCGCACTTGCTTGTAGTTTACGTCGTTGTCCACATCGCCCATGCTGGTTTCAAAGACATGCAGCCTGCTCCACCATCTCGACGCTACGATCCCAGTGGATCTACCTTTGCCAGGCGCCAAAAGGACGGGTAGGAGGAGGAGGGGGGGGGAGGAGGAGCCAGCGCGTCGAGGGAGGAGCAGATAGGAGAAGGAAGGGAAGGAATAGGAGTTCGAGTTTGAGGAGGAGGAGGAGGACGAGGAGGAAAGAGAAGCGAGAGGAAGGAGGAGGAGTTTGAGGAGGAGGAAAGGGAGGAGGAGGAGGAGGAGAAGGAGGAGGAGGGGGACGAGGAGGAGGAGCATGCGCAAAAGGACGACAGACGCACATGATACCACAAGGATCTCCTCATCTATACACACATCGATGCAGAAATCGATTACCACATTATTGTATCTTCTAAACCCAATGGATCCTCGGTCCCCATGGACCCCCAGGACGCCATTGCAAAGGGTCACCCGGGATTTCTGGGCCTCCTGTGCGTCCCTGCCGGGTCTAGCCAGCGGGCCCAAAGCGGTCTGGAGGGTGGCTAAACGGCCCCGCAAGAGCCCCAAGCGGCCCCAGACACCCACCAGACGCGCGAAGAAGCACCAAAGAACACCCCAAGATGTCGTCCAAACGCAAACAGCATGCATTATCACATGATTTGTGTGTGATGTTTGGCAACTCGGTTCTTCGGTGTTCCGGGCGTCCGAGACCACCCATGACGCCCCAAGATCGCCCGAAAAGAGCCCCATGACGGCCGAAGATGGCCCCAAGACGCCCCTCGAAGAACTCCAGATCATGACCTGGTCGTTGAGGGAGACCGTGGTTCTCAGCAAGGTGGCTCCTAAAAGGCGCCCAGAGGGCATCCAGAAGGCCCCGAAGACGCCCTTGAAAGTCTTCGTGAGTCCTCAATAGGCTTTGCAAGGAGGAGCCTCCGCAAAACAAATTGAGGAGTAAGGCCAGAACGAGGAAGAGGAAGCAGGGGGAAGGATAAGGAACCACATGTTGTAATGACGACGGCGACGAAAACAGCCACAAGGCATTACCACTGTTTGAACTTAGTTGCTTTTCTCATTCCGCCAAGAGGCCGAAACTAAAGAACCAAGGTGCATGGTGCGCTAAGCGCCAATGCAGTCGTGTGTACATGTGTGTGCATGTGTGTGTGTGTGTGTGTGTGTTGCGACGTCGGCCGCGCAACGGCGCGATAGATTGCGATGTCGGAGGAGAGGGGGCACCGCAACCGCGATGGCCATGCAGGCATAATCCCAGGGCACCCGCCTCGCCGCCCACAGGCTCCAGCGGGGCAAGCGAAAACACACGCACACACACATCGTCAGGCATCCCTGGCAGGCCCGTCTTGGGGCGAGCGCGCGGTGTGTATGGCCTCACCGCAGGACCTCAGAGGAGGAACAGGGACCAACACCGCTGCCCTTGCCTCGTTTTCCCCTTGTTGGTTGGGCCTCCTTGGAGGCTCTCGTCGCCACCGCTGGATTCGCCTCGCGATTCTGGTCCCAACGCACCCCAGGAGAGTTCCGGGGAGTAGCGGTATCGGTACTTTTGGCTTCCCCAGGACCGGGAGGCTATTATGCGCCCCGCCTTACTCGGCCGCCCGGCCAGAAGCGGGCACAGCACGAGAGTGTGAGCCCCAAGTGGGCCGTTGGAGTTCTGGTGACGGTGCCTCTCGGTTTATCTCCTACAGCAGGCTGGGACGGAGTTGCATCAGCAGGACGGTCTGTCCGAGCTACAGCCGTGGACACTTGCGCATGGCATCGCACGCATGCCACGCACGGCAACGACACGCGATGCAAAACAACGACTTCCCAGTGGGTGCGAAACACGCACCATGTCCATGTAAGCGCTGACGTATTCCATCTCGATGCCTAGTTTCTGGGAGGATAGAGTTTAGAGGTCATGTATGTTTCTGTGCATTCGTCTGCGGCGCCCTGCTCGAAGTGCTGTCCCGCCGTTTGTGAAGGGAGCACTGGGTATGTCCTGCGTCGTCCTCCCTCTTCGGCACCTCGGACAGGCTTTCGACCTACGGGGCGTCGGCAGCATCAACGGCCAGGACATCGGGCGTCGGGCGTCTTGGCATCGTTGGTGGCACCCCTTACGAGGTAGCTTGCCGTGGTAAGCTCTCGCACGGTGTACCACTGGCCGCGTACAGAGCGGTGATTTCAGAAATGCCAGGAGGTTTTCGGCTTCAGAGGGGCATTGCCGAAATGGACTTTGAAACCGAGTACGTCTGACACGGTCGCTGCAATGTTGACAAGTCGATCGTTGGTTGGCAGGGCGCTTATTCCGTCCGTATATTGCCCCAACCCCGCCGGCGCCTTGGAGAGAAGGCACCCGCAGGGAGAGCAAAGGGGCCGACAGTTTGACTTGACATCTGCTGGCGCATCGTTCATGGGTAAGCGCGAGCGGGAGAGGCACGAGGAATCAGATCAGCACCCCGTGTTGTCGATCGTGCGGGGGGGGGAGACGGGAAGCGGTGGAGGTAGGAAGGGAGGGAGGGAGTGGGCAATCGGGGAAGGGATGGGAAGGAGGGAGGAGGGTATCCTCAGGGGCGACGTTAGGGGAGGGGATTAGGCCCAGGGGGGGCGCATCGACCCCCAATCGCCCATTCATCGCTGATATGGGCCTACTAGCCCACCTCGCCCCAGATTGTGCAGTTTCGCGATCGAGGGCCATGGCCGATCTATTGGCGATATATCGCGTATTCCAATTCGATGTTTCCCCCCCCCTTAGCCGGTCCCCCCTATCGTTGCTTTTCGCAAGAGAAAGAGGGTAGAGTCCATCGTTCCCGAGGCCCTGCAAAGGCTTCACTAGCTTCCGAGGCGCACTTCGATCCGGCTTTTCCCCTTCTCATTATACCTTTCTTTCATTTCGGCATCATTATCCTCCGTCTACATCCCTCGTCCTCTTCGACTCCATCATCTCATTCCTTCTCTTTCCTCATTCCCTTCCTGTTGTAGAGCCTTTGAGGCCCCCCCCGCCCCCCTGAAAACTCCCCCCTGGCCCCCAAGACCCGTTTAGACGTCTTCAAAACAAGATTCAACCCCCCTCCCCCTAATTTCCCCTCCTTCTTTTCTCATTATCCTCCTCCTTCCCCCGTATGGGTTCACCACTCAGAGTGTGCACGGCAATGTACAGCTACTTTGGCAGGACGCTCGCGGAAGGCTCCAGGAACGACGCTGTCAAGATGTGTTGCCAGTGCTCCAGCCGACGCCAGAGCTTCCAGCGGCGCTGATTTTACGGTATCATGGTGAAGCGCAAGAAAGGAACATTAAGTCGTGCTGGGGCCCTATAATAGGCATGCCGCTTTCAGATCTGGTTCCACCATACGCTGTTTCAGATTCGCAACATCGTGGTGGATCAGCTTAAGACCAAGGGAGCGAAGCGCAAGGTCGGTGCAGCGCAGCAGGCAGGGTTAGAAAGTGCAGCAACCAGAAGCCCCACAGACTTTCAGCTCAGAGGATCTCGTTTTGCCCAGGCGTGGACGTGGGCGGGGTGGCCTGAGCAACGACTGATCAAAGAGGAGGCAGGCCAGAGGGCATCTGTGAGAAGCGGGTGCTACTCCGTCCGCGGACCCTTGCGCGAGGAGGGTGCCAGAAGGGCCAGGGCGCCCAGCGGCGTGCGCGGAGCCCCCACCGAGTGACCACAGCTAGGCCGCACCAGCTGATCAGTGCCGTGCAATTTCAGTCGATGCGAAGTAGCCCAGGACTCAGCCCGACCGCTCAATGAACCGATCTTCGCTACCCATCCGAGAAAAACCATATCACCCCCCAAGGCTCACATTCCCTTCCCTTGTCTCCCCTTTCCCTCTTCATATCCTTGTCACTTCCCCTTGTCTGCAGCGTGCGTGCATCGGCCGTTTTGAAACGGTTACTTGAATTCGATGGCCAGAGCATTGGGCAATTTTATGAGAAGCATTGAAAGTCATAATCACCCTGTTCTTCCTTGCCCCCCATTTCCCCCCTCGCGCAAGCATAGTTTAAAGATTTCACGAGTTGTGGGAACAGATTGCTCACTATCATTCTTCCGTAGTTTGGGATGTCTTGCCAATCGGTTGAGCAACCGATAGCTGCTCGGGAGGACAGTGAGATGATTGAGAATGGAGAGGGTGACTGATGTGAGGTAGGATGGGCCGAGAACGATTCCAGAGCAAGCCAGGAATGCTCGCGATGAAGAGTGGAAAGCGGCAGCAGGGAGCCAGCAGCTTACAGGAGCGGCTGCAATGTTCCCATGTGTCGTGGACGAGCTTGCCAAACCCACACGCGTCCACGCAGCAAGGGGTGTTGCAAGCGGTGTACGTGTCCGATCCCGAGCATGCGGCAGTTGTGGCAGGAGTGGCACCGTTTTGTTGCGATAATCCGGCGATCGCAACCATGGATTAAGAGGTCGTGGATTAGCGACGGGTCCCGTTAAGCAATCTGCGCCAAGAGCAATTTCTAAGAATGCGCGGGCCGTGCGCTCTGCCTCGTCCAGAGTTAAGTCGGGCCTGTCCCCCTACAGGAGGAATGTTCAAAAATCGTCAAACATAGTCGGGGCACGATTTGTCGATTAGGTTTGGCTATCTTTGAATCTGGTCTGGCTATTTTTATCTTTCGTCCAAAATCCGCTTGTAGGTGGGCATGCCCGACCTAAGCCCAGTGCTGATGTTCGCTCCCACATGCTCGTGGCTTCCGTTCGATTGGGAGCAGGATGCAGGAGAACTTCACGCCTGGCGAGTTGTATTCCAGTCGTGGTCAGCCTTCTCCTCGAAAGTCTCAACCCAGAGGTCGGCTGTGTCCTGCGCTGTGTGTCTTTATTGTATGTTTATGGCGGCTCCTGGTGCTGGCATTGGTTTCACAGATTCTGGTTGCGCATACAGCTTCGACATCGCGCCAGGCACTACCACGCCTCACACGACCACGGCGCCATCATCCGCCACGGCGGAAACAACAATGACCACCGTGACCACCAACAGTAGGACGTCCTCGACCAATACCTATATAACGTTAAGCCCTCAAACATGTTACGCATAACAAAACAGGAGACGTTGGCGGCCACGATCAACACCGATAATAACGCGTCCAAGGTCACCAGTTCTAACGTGGCCTCCATCGTCATTCTGGCCGTGTGCGGCTGCCTGATCTGTTGTGCAATGTGCAGTCTTGTGCTCGGTGCGCAGGACATGTGGACCGCCAGGGAAATGCTGAAGACTCTTGTGTCCCACGGTTGCATCCTTTCGGGGGTGGAACAGCATAGCGGATTATTTGATCAACGACACGATGGACAAGCGCAGCTAATGGTATCAAGTTTTCCTATACCAGGCTGCTCGCCGACGGCGACGCCAGGGCAGGCGATGGCCCAGTCGACAGGGGACCGCCATTGTCAGAGCAGGCGTGCGGACAATTCGTGAGCCGACCTACGCACGTAGCCAGGATTGCGCACTACCAGCCTTCGTGATTATGCATTTGCATGTCTCTGTCGATTAGGTAACTGTGTGTGTATGTGTTAGTGTGTGTATGTGTTTGCATGCCGCTGCTGGTTCCTTCTCCAGCCCCTCACATGTCTTACATGCCTGGCGCTGTCGCGCCCACCTGAGACGCAATAGCGCTAGCGATCCCAGGAGATGATCCAGCCTTCCTCTTCTCCCTCTTATTCATCCTCCCCCCTCGTTCTCATCAGGACGCCGCGTTCCTGGAGCGATGGGATCCCGCCCCCTGGCTGTGGACTGACCCGGACGAGGTCCAGAAGGCTTCGGGCGCCGCCTCCAGAGCTAGGTTTGGGAGGAGAAGGAGGAGGAGGAGGAGGAGGAGGAGGAGAACGAGAAGGAGGAGGAGGAGAAGGAGGAGGAGGGATTAGGAAAGGGATCGGGAGGAGGAGGAGGATCTGGGGGAGGAGGAGGAGGAGGAGGAGGAGGAAGAGGAGAAGGAGGAGGAGATTGTGGTGGAGGGAGGAGAAGGAGGAGGGAGGTGGAAGAAGAGGAGGAGGAATAAGGATGATGAGGAGAGTGGAGCAGGAAGAAGTACAGGAATGAGTTCAAGAATGGAGGATGAGGATGAAGATGTAGGTGAAGATGGGGGCACGATATAGAGGAGGGGGGATATTGGGCACATTGCAGTACTCACAGTTGAATTGCCGATCTCGACGCCGAGTAGCCATCATACTTTCTGGACGCCTGCGCAACTGTCGGACAGTTTGAACAGCATGACGCGCAACATGTCAGGCGTGCGGGCGTTTGCTAGACCAGTCTTCGCGTGATAGAATCGTCCCCTCTAGAGCATCCATGAAGAGGCCGACGTGCAACTGGCACAAACAAACGTATTGATAGCGTGGGCCTGTGTGGTGGGGGTGCTTGCGATTGCACAGCATTGTGAAGTTCTCCCCCGCGTCATTTGGCTGTGGCAGTGGCAGTGGTGACACAGATATAGTGGTGGCAGCAGTTACGGCAGCAATGCCAATGGGAGTAAATTGGGTAAGCGGAAGAGGGGGAGCCCGGAGCAGAGAAGAGCAGGAGGAGGAAGGCGACTGACGTTCCCGGACTGGAGGGGGAGGCGGAGGAGGAGAAGGAGGAGAAGGGGGAGGAGGAGGAGAAGGAGGAACAGGAGCAGGAGGAGAAGGAGGGCGTGTAGTTGTTTTTATTGATTGTTTCGCCGACCGGCGCGGGCCCCTGGCCCCCCCTCCCCCCCCCGCCGTAGACCAGCTCTTGGCTGCTCTCGGGGGCTCCATCCAGTGACTGGTCAGGGCCTCCACCCCGCACTCTGCTTGCGCGGCTGGTAGAAGCAGATCGACGAAGCAATGGCCCAGACCCAGACTCCCCCCCCACACATTCGGCTAAACATCGAAGCCCGGAATAAAAGAACGCACGTTGTTCCGACGTCTCAGCCCAAAGTCAGCCGACTGAGAGACCCCCATCACTCCTTCACGGCACAGCGCCCCTCGCCATTTGGAGAGCGGCAGGGAGAGCCTTATTCTTGCCTCCTGGCCCCGTAGGACCACTTCATCTCCCTGCTGCGGCAGCGCTATGGGAGTCTGCTGGTGGCCTGGAGGAGAATTGACGGGAGGGTTTCCAACAGAGTGTCCTACAAGGAGCTTGCATTGCGGAGGGCCAGTGAAGATGAGCAAACACAGGGAGGTGGAGAATACGATGAGCAGCAATAACAATGGCAGCGTCAGTTGAAGGGAAGTCAGCAGGAGAGAACGAGTCTTGGGCGTCTTATGCTGGACTAGATCAAATGCAGAGGAAGAGGAGGAGGCGGACCCGTAGAAGAAGGTGGGCGCGCGCGTCGTAGAGCGTGCATGTTGATACACACAAGTTGATGTGGATGGGAGAAGTAGTAGTATGTATTCCAACTGTTGTTCCATGCCGCTCGTTCTTTTTCTGCCACCAGGTCTATTACTCTGTTCGACTGCCTCTAGCTGCAAGTGCTAACCCAATGTCACGTCGGCCGCCCTCGCCGTCGGCGGGGTGAAAGTCTTGAGGTGGCCCACGGGCTCTCTTAGCCGTGAGTTCAAGATAACTTCAACAGCGTAGTGTCAACGGCGTAGTGTCAACAGCGTCGTGTCTGCTGGCAGTGCACTCTTGACACTACGCTGCTGGCACTGCGCTCTTGACACCACGCTGCTGGCACTGCACTCTTGACGCTACGCTGCTGGCGCTGCACTCTTGGCACTATGCGAATACGCTACGCAAAAACACTACGCTGATTATTTCACCGTTGGGATGTGCTACCAGAACTGCTGACAATCGCCGAGCTCACGCTGCGTTGTTGGTCATCGCGGTGTTCTCCTGCAACCGTGCGTTGTCGACACTGCGCTATTGACACTATGCTGCTGACACTGCGCTGCTGACACTGCGCTGCTGCCCGTCGCGCCTGCTGCCCGTCGCGCCTGGAGATGCCCAGAACGAGTTTGGCGAAACTCGCCCAACTCACGTTGCGCTATCGCGGCGTTCTCATGTAACCGTACGCTGTTGACACTGTGTGTTTGACACTGCATTGTTGGCACTATGCTGCTGACACATCGCTGTTGACACTGCGCTGCTGCCCGTCGCGCCCAGAAATGTCTATAACGCGTTTGGTGGACATGTCGCAGGAAACACGACGCAGGAAACATTACGCAGGAACCACTACGTAGAAAATACTAGGCAACAAAACAGCACGCAGGGAACATTACGTAAAAATCATTGGTTAAACCATATTTGCGTAACAAAGCATTGCGCAACACAACGTTGCGTGATGGAAAAAGCGCATACTGCGTACGAGAAGCACATAACGCAGGAAATGCGACGTAAGAATGTTTACGCGGGAAGCGCTACGCAGGAAGCGCAACGCAGGAACCACTACGCAGAAAACGCTGCGCAGGAAACACTACGCAGAATCCATCGCGCAGGGAACATTTCGCAGAAAACACTACGCAGAAACCGCGTCGCAGAAAGATCTGCGCAGGACACATTGCATAGGACACTTTGCGTAGGCAACAGCGCGCGGGAAACACTGCGTAGGAAATGCTGCGTAGGAAGCAATGTGCAGGACACGCTGCGTATGAATCATTGCGCAGAAAACATTGCGTAGGGAACGCTGCGCAGAAAACATTACGAAGAAAACGCTGCGTAGGAAACACTGCGTAGGACGCACTGCGTAGGAAACGCTGCACAGGAAGCACTGCGTAGGAAACACTGCGCGGGAAACATTGCGCGTTGGAAACATTGCGTAGGAAACATTGTGTGGGAAACGTTGCGTAGGAAACACTGCGCCTTGGAAACACTACGCAGTACACACCACGCAGGAAAGACTGCGCAGACTACGTTGAAACATATTGCGTAACGGACATTACGCAAAACAGAACTACTACGTACAAAAACACCACGTACAAAACATCTTGCGTAAAACAACAAAAGACACTGCGCAACAAACGCTACGTTTTTATGAAAACATTGCGTACAACAAAAACCGGGGTACAAAAACACAGCGTACAATCATTGTGCAAGAAACACTGCGCGGGAAATGAAACACAGGAAACACCACGCAGGGAACACGACGCAGGAAACCACACGTAAAAACGTAGCGTGGCAAAAACATGGCATTCAAACGAACGAATAAAAAACAGTGTTACAATACAAAAAAGACAACGTACACACATTCCGCGCAAGACAACACCCCGTACATGCAAAAATACATTAGGCCAGAAACGTTGCGCAGGGGCCACTACGCAGGAAACGTTGCGCAGGAAACACTACGGAACCTTGCGTAGAGAACACCGCGCGGGAAACGTTGCGTAAAACAAGCTGCATACAAAAACACTGCGTACGAAAATGACATTACGCAGGAAACGCTACGCAGGAAAGACTTCGCAGGAAACACTACGCAGAAAAAAGTGCGCAGGAAACACTACGGAACCCTGCGTAGAGAACACCGCGCAGGAAACGTTGCGTAAAACAAGCTGCATACAAAAACACTGCGTACGAAAATGACATTGCGCAGGAAACGCTACGCAGGAAAGACTTCGCAGGAAACACTGCGCAGAAAAAAGTGCGCAGGAAACACTAGGCAGAAACCGCTACGCAGGAAACGCTACGCAGCAAGCACTTCGCAGAAAACACTACGCAGAAAACACTGCGCAGAAAACACTGCGTAGGAAATGCTGCGTAGAAAACACTGCGCTTCAAACGCCCATGCGTTGTCGACACTGCGCTGCTGACACTACGCTGCTGACGCTGCGCTGTTGACACTGCGCTGCTGTCCGTCGCGCCCAGAACTGCCCAGAATGATTTTTTTTTGAAAATCGCCGAAATCGTGCGTTGTTGACACTGCGCTGTTGACGCTACGCTGTTGACACTGCGCTTCTGACACTACGCTGTTGACACCTACGCTGTTGGCACTACGGTGTTGACACTACGCTGCTGTCCGTCGCGCCCAGAACTACCCAGAATGCGCTTGCTGTAAGTCGCCGAAATCGTGCGTTGTTGACACTGCGCTGTTGACTCTACGCTGTTGACACTGCGCTGCTGACACTACGCTGTTGACACGACGCTGTTAACACCACGGTGTTGACACGACGCTGTTGACGCTACGCTGTTGATATTACACTGTTGGCACTACGCTTTTGGCACTACGCGTATGACACTACGTGTGTGACATTACGTTGTTGACAATACGCGGTTGACACTACGCTGTTCACACTACGCTGTTGACATAACGTTGTTGACACTACTCTGTTGACACTACGCTTTTGGTTTGATTCACGGTTAACCTGTTTTTTGCATAGGTGGCCAAGTGTGGTTCCGAACGCCTGGGATTTCATCATGTTTTGGGGTTGGCCAGACACCAGAAATCCCCAAGTTCATCGCTGCTAGGCATCAGGTCCGCATTGCCAGGCGCGTTGCTTTCTCGTATTCAAGCGATCCCGGCCCACTTGGGCCTATGTTTCGCCATCCCCTGCCCGTGGCGTCGGCGTTCTTTGGAGAGGTAGCCATGGCAACTCAAAGGCGGCCCGGAGCGACCGTCGCAGGTTGTTTGCCCCCCTTTGTTTGGGTCAGGGGCTGCGGCTTGCAGGCCAGATGGATCTTGCTCCACATCACCCTTCAAGGAGATCTGTATCGATGATGATGAGAAAGAGGATGGCGATGGTGATGACGATGCTGGTGATGGTGATGATGATGCTGCTGCTGCTGATGATGATGCGGGTGATGATGAGAGCTATGAAGATGTTGATGACTCGCATGATGAATAAGATGATGGGAATGATGATGATGATGATGATGATGATCATGATTGTGATGGTGATGGTGATGATGCTGATGATGCTGGTGATGGTGATGAAGCTGCTGATGACGATGAAAGACGGTGATGACGAAAGCAGTAACGATGACGATGATGACGATAATGATAGAAATTACGATATCGGCGATGATGATGATTATGATGACAATGATGGCGATGATGATGCTGAACATGATGATGAGGATGATGATGCTGATGCTGATGACGATGATGATGATGGTGCTGATGATGATGATGACGATGATGATGATGATGATGCTGTTGATAATGATGATGATGATGATGATGATGATGATGATGATGATGATGATGATGATGATGATGATGATGATGATGATGATGCTGGCGTCATCGTCATCGTCATCGGCTTCGTGTCTGATCGCACCGCCATCTCGGCCTCCCCAGACCTCTCGACACCTCTCCAGGGCCGGGCGCTCCCTCCCGCGCCGCTCTCCTGTGGCCCTGCAGCCCGAGAATGGACCCTGGACGCCTTGAGTGATGAGAGAACCGTCTTGTGTGTTTCAAGAAGTCGCTCCGCAGCGGTCCCCGCCGCGTGAGCGCTCCAGCCTTCCCCTCCTCTCCCGCGGCCGCTGCGCCCCCGGTCAATTTGTTTTGCTGCCGGCAATTCGCAGTGCCAGCACCCCGCTTGCCCGAGCGCGCGTGCGGACTGCCTCTGCCGCGCTGCGACGTAAAAGGTGTTTCAAGACGTGCCGCGTGCGCCACTCGGCGGCGAGCGAAGGGGGGAAGTGCGAAGGAGAAAGCCCTCAGAAGGCGGCGGGCCTTCGCAGAAGCCTGCCGGCCCTCTGAGACGGTTTCTCTGTGTCCGTCCCCGGGGAAGGCCTAGAATTCCCAACCATTCTGTGGTGTTGGGTCCTCGTTTTGAAGACGGAGGCCCGCGTCTCCTCTCCTCTCCTCTCCTCTCCTCTCCTCTCCTCTCCTCTCCTCTCCTCTCCTCCTCCTCCTCTCCTCTCCTCCTCCTCTCCTCCTCCTCCTCCTCCTCCTCCTCCTGGCCCCCATTTTGGCACACCCTTCACACGTTTCGTGGCCCCGTAGGGAGCTCCACCGAAGGTCCCAGTGGGTGTGCCCGCATGCGTCCCGCACACCCATTTCGGCACATCCCTCACACGTTTCGTGGCCCCATAGGGAGCTCCACCGAAGGTCTCAGTGGGTGTGCCCGCATGCGTCCCGCACACCCATTTCGGCCCACCCCTCACACGCTTCGTGGCCCCATAGGGAGCTCCACCGAAGGTCCCAGTGGGTGTGCCCGCATGCGTCCCGCACACCCATTTCGGCACACCCCTCACACGCTTCGTGGCCCCATAAGGGAGCTCCACCGAAGGTCCCAGTGGGTGTGCCCGCATGCGTCCCGCACACCCATTTCGGCACACCCCCACACGCTTCGTGGCCCCATAGGGGGCTCCACCGAAGGTCCCAGTGGGTGTGCCCGCATGCGTCCCGCACACACACACACACACACACACACACACACACACACACACACACACACACATTTCGGTACACCCCTCACACGTTTCGTGGCCCCATAGGGAGCTCCACCGAAGGTCCCAGTGGGTGTGCCCACATGCGTCCCGCACACCCATTTCGGCCCACCCCTCACACGTTTCGTGGCCCCATAGGGAGCCCAACCGAAGGTCCCAAAGGGTTTGTCCGCATGCGTCCCGCACACCCATTTCGGCCCACCCCTCACACGTTTCGTGGCCCCATAGGGAGCTCCACCGAAGGTCTCAGTGGGTGTGCCCGCATGCGCCCCCGCCATTCATTTCGGCCCACCCCTCACACGTTTCGTGGCCCCGTAGGGAGCTCCACCGAAGGTCCCAGTGGGTGTGCCCGCATGCGTCCCGCACGCCCATGTTGGTACACCCTTCACACGTTTCGTGGCCCCATAGGGAGCTCCACCGAAGGTCTCAGTGGGTGTGCCCGCATGCGTCCCGCACACCCATTTCGGCACACCCATCACACGTTCCGCGGCCCCATAGGGAGCCCAACCGAAGGTCCCAGTGGGTGTGCCCGCATGCGTCCCGCACACCCATTTCGGCCCACCCCTCACACGTTTCGTGGCCCCATAGGGAGTTTCACCGAAGGTCCCAGTGGGTGTGCCCGCATGCGTCCCGCACACCCATTTCGGCACACCCCTCACACGTTTCGTGGCCCCATAGGGAGCTCCACCGAAGGTCCCAGTGGGTGTGCCCGCATGCGTCCCGCACGCCCATTTCGGCCCACCCTTCACACGCTTCGTGGCCCCATAGGGAGCTCCACCGAAGGTCCCAGTGGGTGTGCCCGCATGCGTCCCGCACACACATGTCGGCTCACCCCTCACACGTTTCGTGGCCCCGTAGGGAGCTCCACCGAAGGTCTCAGTGGGTGTGTGCGCATGCGTCCCGCACACCAATTTCGGCCCACCCCTCACACGTTTCGTGGCCCCATAGGGAGCTCCACCGAAGGTCCTTGTGGGTGTGCCCGCATGCGTCCCGCACACCAATTTCGGCACACCCCTCACACGCTTCGTGGCCCCATAGGGAGCTCCACCGAAGGTCCTTTTGGGTGTGCCCGCATGCGTCCCGCACACCAATTTCGGCACACCCCTCACACGTTTCGTGGCCCCATAGGAGCTCTGCCGAAGGTCCCAGTGGTACAGTCCGCATGCGCCCCCGCCATTAATTTCGGCCCACCCCTCACATATTTCCTGGCCCCATAGGAGCTCTGCCGAAGGTCCCAGTGGCACAGTCCGCATGCGTCCCCGCCGCTCATTTCGGCACACCCCTCTCACGTTTCGTGGCCCCATAGGGAACTCCACCGAAGGTCCCAGTGGCACAGTCCGCATGCGTCTCCGCCATTCATGTCGGCCCACCCCTCGCACGCTTCGTGGCCCCATAGGAGCTCCGCCGAAGGTCCCGGTGGCACAGTCCGCATGCGTCCCCGCCATTCATTTCAGCACACCCCTCACACGTTTCGTGGCCCCATAGGAGCTCCGCCGAAGGCCTCCGTGGCACAGTCCGCACGCGCTCCCGCCATTCATGTCGGCACACCCCTCACACGTTTCGTGGCCCCACAGGAGCTCCGCCGAAGGTCCCAGTGGCACAGTCCGCATGCGTTCCCGCCACTCATTTCGGGACACCCCTCACACGCTTCGTGGCCCCATAGGAACTCCACCGACGGTCCCCGTGGCGCAGTCCGCATGCGTCCCCGCCATTTATTTCGGCACACCCCTGACACGTTTCGTGGCCCCATAGGAGCTCCGCCGAAGGTCCCAGTGGCACAGTCCGCATGCGTCCCCGCCACTCATTTCGGCATACCCCTCACACGTTTCGTGGCCCCATAGGGAACTCCACCGAAGGTCCCCTTGGCGCAGTCCGCATGCGTCTCCCTTTCCCACTCCAGCGCTACGTGGCCCCATATGGAGCCCCACCGCAGGTCCCAGCCAGCCAGCTAGCTGTCTTTGCTCCGCGCAGCGGGCGACCCGCGCGCGTCGCTGGGACCCCTCCGGGGCGACCTGCGCGCGTCGCGGGGACTCCGTGCTGCGTTCTGCCCAGCGCCTCGCTCGCCCGTCGTCGCTCTGCCCAGCGGCAAGAGCCTTGCCCGCTATCAGCCAGCCAGCTAGCTCTCTTTGCTCCGCGCAGTGGACGACCCGCGCGCGTCGCTGGGACCCCTCCGCGACCTGCGCGCGTCGCGGGGACTCCGCGCTGCGCTGCGCCCGCAGCCTTGGACTTTTGAGTGTGCGGGCAAAGAGGGAGTAAAGGAAGGGAAGGAAGCGGGCGCGATCCTCGCGCGGGGGCGCGCCGACATTGGCGTCGCGGCGCGCGGGCGATGCCGTCGGGGAGTCCCGGGGAAGCTCCTTGCGGCGGCCACGCCCAGCGTCACGAGTACTCAGAGGCAGTCGTTGTCAAATTATTGACATCCATATACAATTGCACCACGCATTGTCATAATCGCATTCATGCACGTAGACTCGCTCACACGCAGATTCATTCACACTCAGACGCACGCGCGCAGATTCACCCGCGCTCAGTCTCCCTACGTACTCAGATCAATCGTTTTCGCTCGCGTTGTGTACCACGCCACTCATGTCGGCACACCCCTAGCACGGTTCGTTGCCTCATAGGGATCGCCACCGAAAAAGTGAATCACTATTGCGGTACTCACACCTGCATATGGTTGGGTCCCTCGTCAGGCTAATTTTTTCGGAAGGCCGGGGGACTTCCGAGCCTGCTGACAACACCCGCCCCCTCCCATTTCCCCCCCTAGGCTGGCCACCGAAGCACGCGAGAGATCTGCACGCTGTGAGCGCGGAGCCCCCTTTCGCCCTCCTCCGCGGCCGTTCTGCCCTTTTTCCCTGTGGGTCTGGTGCGCAATCACCTCTGCCGCGCCCAGGCTGTTGCTGCCAGACTCCTCGTGCCGAAGAGGGCTGTGGCGCCATGCGTATCCTGCCATTGGGGCCATCCTAGTTGGAACGCTCAGTGGGGCCACGAAGCGCGCAAGGGGTGTGCCGAAACATGGCGGTGCTGCCACGTGGACCCTGCCATTAGGGCCTCCTGTGGGGGTGAGCCGGAATGAGCGCGGTGTCACCATGCGGATGTTACCACTGGGGCTTCCACTGGAGCTTACTTTGGGGCCGCGAGCCGCGTGAGCGGTGTGCCGACATGGGCGCCGTGCCTCCATGCCGTCGCGCCCACCGAGACTGTCGGTGCAGCTTCGCGCGGAGCCACAAAAACTTCGAGGGGTGTGCCAGCATGGGCGCGATGCTGCCATACGGTCGCGCCCATTGAGACGGTAGGTGGAGCTCCCCATGAGGCCACGAAGCGTGTGAGGTGTGTGCCAGATGAGCTCGGAGTCACCATGCGGTCACGCGCATTGAGACGGAAAGTTGAGTTTCCTATGAGGCCACAACGAATATGAGCGCCGTGTCGCCATGCGGTCGTGCCCTTTGGGCCGTTAATTGGACTCTTTTGATCAGAGCCACGAGCTGTGTCAGGGGTCTGCCGAAATGAGGGCGTCGCCGCCATGCAGTCAATTCCATTGAGCCCGTAGGACAAGCTCCCGTGGGGCCACGAAGCGTGTGCATGGTGTGCCGAAATGAGGCGGCGGCGCCATGCAGTCGCGCCCATGAAGACAACAAGTGGAACTCCCCGTTTGGCCACGAAGCGCGTGAGGGGTGCACCGAAAGGAGGGCGGCACCGCCATGCGGGCGCGCCCACTGAGGCCGTAGGTGGAGCTCCCGATGGGCGGGGGCCACGACATGTGTATCGGGATGTTCCGAGATTGGCGGGGGGCCCGCATGCGATACCCTGTCACTGAGGCATTCGGTGTAGCTCTCTGTGTGGGGCCACGGAACGTGTGAGGGGTGTTGCGGAATGAGCGGCCAGGGGGACCGCTCGCGATACCCTGCCACTGAGGCATGCGGTGCAGATCCCTGCGGGGCCACGAAACGAGTGAGGGGTGTCGCGGCGAAATGGGCGGGGGGACTGTATCCAATACATTGCCACTGAGGCATTCGGCGGAGCTGCAGGCGGGGCCACGAATCGTACGAGGTGTGTGCCGAAATAGGCGGGTGTGCCGCATGCACTGCCTTGGTTGAGGCCTTCGGTGAAGCTGCCTTCGCGGCCACGAAACGTATGGAGTGTTTTCCGAAATTGACGGGGGACCGCACGCATTGCTTTGACTGAAGCCGTCGATGGAGCTCCACATGACTTTGCGACATGTGTGATAGGTGTGCCGACATGGACACGCGGAGAGCAGAGGCAGGAGGAGGCGGATGAGGTGAGGAGGAGGTGGGGCGCCGCGCTGCGGATTCAAAACGAGGACCAACTCTCACAGGATTTTTGGAAGAGAAGTTGTACCCCGGGCGAGCGCGGCAGGAGTTCACCGACGCCTGCAAGGCGCACCGGTTCCAGAGCCTAAACGTGACTGGCATTTGGGCGGCGCTGGACACCCAGATCAGGACCGAGTTTGGCTGCGGGGGCGATCTCGGCATCGTCGCTTCGGGTGCGTGAAAGGGTGGGCAAGGATTGGGGCAAATACCATCAGAGGAGCGAGAAGTCATGATTCGGGGGCAACGATAGGGTGGGACAGGCATAAGGTGGGACACATCGACCCCCAATCGCCCATTGATCGCCGATAGGGGCCCGATAGCCCCACTCCGTCCAGGACCGTGGAGATTGGCTATCGGGGGCCTATCGCCGATCTATCGACGATGTATCGCCGATTCCAGGTCGATGTTCCCCCCCCTACGCCAGTCCCCCTCGATCGTTGCCACTCAATGATGAATATACCTTCGCAGATGTCCCAGATTTCCTATTGTTTCGCGCGGGATCCAGGAACTTGGACCGCTGGACGCCCAGAATTCATAGAAGGTATCCTAAGCGAGTCCGCTAGGACATCAATACCATTCTGAACCTATACGGCGGGGGCGTTGGTTAAGGAACGTGCCCAGAAGACTCCAGACCCTGGAGGATTCGGTATCTGATGATGGCGGCGGTGATATCAATGGCCCATCCACGATTGGAGCTCCACCGGCTTCCAGACCCTGGATTATGTATCTACGGGTTCTTTGTCCCATGCCCCCACCATATCATCGCGCCGTTGCCGGTCGTTGTCGCCGATCGAGGGTCGAGGGCTTCGGGAACGCCAAAGGGCCCAGGTCTCCCAGATTGCACGGTTCTCTCCGTCGTCCGCGCGCATGCCTCGGGCCACGATGCGTTGACACCCCTCTCCAAGAAAGCCCCAAGAGGGCCCAAGCAGGACCCCAGGACCCCAAGAGCACCCAGAGGAGCTCCCAAAAAGTCGTCAGAGATTTCCTGAACCCTCAAATCCGAGGCTCTGCCCAACAAGGATTTCCACTGAGCCTCTTCATCTTCTCCGCGGTGAACCAGGAGCGGCGACGACGTCAGATTGCCAGCCGCACCCAGTCAACTGGCAAGGGGGGGTAAGTGTTGCGTTATGAGATTGGAAGGGGTAATCACCTCCCCGAGCGGGAAGAATGGAATTAGAAGAACTAACTCGCTAAGCCAATTTCGCCCAGAGGACAGGTTGGATCAAATGGAGGGTGTTGACAAAGTTCGCCCCCACACACACACACACACACACACACACACACACACACACACACACATTCACACACACACACACACACTCATTTGGCGTTGCGGTCACGCGCGCGGCGGTGCGGCGTAGGGCGGCCGAGCGGGAGAACGCGCGCGGCCGGGCCAGATCACGCTGCGTGGCGACCAGAGATCCACCCATAGGGGGTCAACCGGGTTATTCGCGGTGGGGCGCGAAAGGAGGAAGATAGGGGGAGAGGGGGAAAGTGGCAGCAAGTGGAGGTGCGAAGTGCGAGAAGCAAGAACGGCGCAGCGCGGAAGTGCAAAGGCACTCCGCACTCCGATAGAGTGGGAGAGCACCGGGCCGGACGAACGGGCAGGATAGGGAAAGGGGGGGGTACGACATCTGCTGCATGCAGCTAGTTTCGGCCCCGCCGCCGGGGCCATTCCTCGATGCATGGGCGCCTCCCGGCGCCAGGAGGCGCCAGGACAACCAGCTGCTTGAGCTGATTCACGAACCTGTCCTTCGCTATCCTACCCTTTCCCCCACCCCCACCCGCGAGTGCAGCAGGCAGACAGTCCGACCAACGCAGACGGTGGGACGACACGAGCGTCGGGGGCAAAACAGAGACCGTGGCGGGACAGCGGAGGGCCGACAGCACAGCCACGGCAGCAGGGGGACAAGCCAAGGAGCGGCCCGCAGGGGCGGGGCGGCAGGCAGGCCAGGGGGCGGCCTACCGGGGTTGGGGGCAGGGGGAAGCACAGGGAGAAGCTCCCCAGCGGCGGGAGGCCCTGGCCAGCGGTACCCGAGTCAGACACACGCTGGAAACGTAAGGCCTCCTCCTCCTCCTCCTCCTCCTCCTCCTCCTCTTTCTCCTCCTCCTCCTCCTCCTCCTCCTCCTCCTGTCCGCTGGATTTCGTGTTTCTCTATGCTTTTTGACAAGCGCGTCATGGATGGTGACGGTCCAGTGTTCGCGGGGTGTTTGCAGTGAGAGCTCGCGTCAACTTCCAGTTTTGGTCTCATTTCGGGCGTAGCCCAGATTTGTGGCTCGCGAAGGAAACTGCGACTGACTGACTGACTGACTGACCACTGACTGGTCGCAACCAATAGGAGACGGTTTTATTCTCCGTCGCCGAAGGCGCAACCTATGGCGAAACCAATCGGAGACGGTTTTATGCTCGGCGACCGAGGGCGCAACCTATGGCGCAACCAATAGGCGACGGTTTGATTCTCGGCCGCCGCTGAGGGCGCAACCTATGGCGCAACCAATGGGGGTCGGCTTTATTCTCGGCGGCCGAGGGCGCAACCTATGCCGTCTGCCGCCGACCTTTGAGAAGAGTTGTTGGGGTCATGCGACGCACCACGCAGGCAAACATCCACGACATGCCGCACCTGCCATCGTCACGCGACGGCACCATTGCAGCTTTCAGCGTGGTGTTCTACCTGATTTCGGTTGTTTGTTGGCAGCAACGCCGACACATCCACCATGGAATGTCGACGCGTCGTATGGCTTGGACAGTTTTGGTCGGACCCAGACGTGCGGAACACGTGGCCACGCTACCTCTGGGAATGCCCTGGGTATCTCCCAGCATCCACTCATTCCCACGAACTACTTCGCCACAAACGGCCCCGCGCGCCCAGCCGCTTGATCTTCTCGCGGCGGTCGACGTAGCGCAGACACGCGCGCGAGAGAGCCAGGGCGCCCAGTCGCTTCCGAACGACGCGCGGGTTCGCCCCCACAATGTATGCCAAAATGGCAATCTCACACGCCGGGCAAAGCCTAAAAGGGCTTTCGTTTGCCCTATCCTCCCTTCGCTCTCTTTTCCTTTCTTCTGTCATCGGCGTAAGGCCCTCCTGGCCCCCTTATGACGCCCCCTCCGCTGGCCTGGGTGGTCCACTCAGGCCGCGCGGGGGGATAGAGGGGGTGTAGGGTATTTTTCCCAAACATCTTGTACCCCGTCGCCATTGGGAGGGGGGGGGGGCACCGTTCCGTCGGATGGGCACACACCCCATCCAGGAGCTCTCGACCCCATCCCGCGCCCTTCTCCGTCCTTTCCATCCTCCACACCTCGCATTTCAATGTCTTCGGCATGTCCGCCATCGGCTGCTCTGCCACAACCGATAGGGGGCGGCTTATTCTCGGCGGCCGAAGGCGCAACTAATGGCGCAGCCAAAATGGGATGGTTTTATTCTTTGCGGCCGAGGGCGCACTTTATGGCGCAACCACTAAGAGACGCCGGGTTCTGACAACCTCCCAAAGTGCAGGTTCTGACCGTCTCCGAAGTTTTTGGCCAGTACGAGGACGAGGTGTGGGCATTCGAATGGGTGCGGAGGTACGCCCGATTTACGCTCGCCGTTTGGGCTGGCGGCGGGGCCCAAGCGGCGAGCCGTCTTGTGATTTCCATGCGCCTCGTGAGGCCACCCGGAGTCCCCCGAACCCGAGTCTCATGTCCCCCCGAACAGGTACAAAGTGACAGCGTTTGGGCGAAACCCTTCGGCTTGAGCTTCACCTGCAAAACAAAGCGCCCATCTGAAGACTCTGAACGCGGCCGTCGCCGACGAGGGCGCGGGGGCGTGGCATTCCTAAAGGGCAGCGACGGGCGACCAGGCGAAAGCGACCACAACGTTGATTATGGGCACACGCCCTGCGAGCCCGAGCGCGTGCCCAGACACTGTAATTCGAAGGGCAAGGAACTGCATAAACATAATTTCGCCGAGGTCCGCGCGCGGACTGCTTGGATCGGCGGTACGCCCCCTGGCGGCGCCTCCAACGCCGCCCCCGGCGTGCTCTGCGCGCCGGGGACGTGGGTCCAGCGCCCAAGAAATCCGCGCGGACCTCCGGAGGTTTTGCTTTGTTCATCCAGGAATGCCGCCTGCAGCGAGGCAAGCGTGGCATTCAGGAGAGGGGGCGCGCGGATTAGTCGGGCCTCGCGCGCCGCGGTCTGGGCCAGTGCGACCGCCCGAGGTTACTTGTGACGGACGCCGACTTCGAGCCCTAAGCTCCACCCCCGACACTTGGCACGTGGTTGGCGCCGAGGCGGAAAGTGGCACGCCGTAGCAGGAACGCTTTTCGTGCCCAGGCAAGAGTCGTCGTCGTAGTCGTCCGACGTAGACGTTGCCGACGACTTGCGGCAGGCCGCGCCGCGTCGACTGACTGGCTAACCGTGCCGGCGTGGGCGCTCGATGATTGGAAGGCCGCTGGCATCCCGAAGCAGCCCCATTTGGAGCGATCTCTTTTTAGAAACCAAACGCGTACTGTGTTCAACACGTCTATGTTTAACATGTTGCGTGTTGGTTCGGCACGTGCTGGCCCACCGCCATCATAATCATCATCATCATCATCATCAACATCATCATCAGTATCATCAGCAGCAGCAACAGCATCAGCATCAGCATTACCATCATCAGCCGCATCATGGTCATCATGGACTCGTTCCGGAGATCATCCGTGAACACTGGAACGATACAAAGGAGATTTGCATGGCCCTTGCGCAAGGATGACGCACAATCCGAGAAGCGTTTACAACCACCATCATCAACATCATCATCACCATCATCAGCACCATCATCATCAGCATCATCGTCCTGATCATCATCAGCAGCAGCATCATCATCAGCATCATCATAGTCATCATCGTCATGATCATCATCATAAGCGTCATCAGCATCATCATTGTCAGCATCAGCAGCATCATCATCAGCAGCATCATCACTGGCGTCATCATCATCAGCATCATCATTGTCATCATCAACACCATCATCAGCATCATCATCATCATCAGCAGCAGCATCAGCATCAGCATCAGCGTCAACATTACCATCAACAACATCATGATCATCATCATGGACTCGTTCCGGGGATCACCCGTGATCAGTGGAACGATACATCTGAGATTAGCATGGCCCTTGCGCAAGGATGACACGCACAATCCGAGAAGCGTTTGCAACCACCACCATCATTACCATGATCATCACTACCATCATCATCATCACAGTTATCATTCTACTAATCATCAGCAGCATCATCATTGTCAGCATCAGCATCAGCAGCAGCAGCATCACTGCCTTTATCATCGTCATCATCATCAACAACATCAATGTCATCATCAGCAGCAGCATAAGCGTCAGCATCTGTATCAGCATTACCGTCATCAACAACATCATGATCACCATCAGGGACTCGTTTCGGGGATCATCCGTCAACATTGGAACGATACAGTGGAGATTAGCATGACCCCTGCGCAAGGATGACACGCACAAATCGAGAAGCGCTTACAATCACCACCATCATCCACATCATGATCACCATCATCAGCATCAGCATCATCAGCATCATCATTGTCAGCATCACCAGCATCTTCAGAATCAGCATCATCATCAGCAGCAGCATCCTCATTGTCAGCATCAGCAGCATCATCATCAGCAGCATCACCATCACTGTCGTCATCAGCATCACCATCAACATCATTGTTATCATCATCACCACCACCATCATCATCAGGGGGTATTCAGGAGCACATTCTCCGTTACCGAACCAGCTCCCCGACGAGATGTGAGCCACGGCCCCTGCCGGCCATGCCGCTGCGGCGCTGCCCGAGCCCGGGCGCGCTCGCCCTCGCGGCCGCGTGTGCGGCGCTCGCGACCACGGGGGCGGCGGCTTTGTCGCACGCGCCGGAGGGCACCCGGAGGCATCACGACGACGACGACGACGACGAAGACGAAGACGAAGACAGCGTCGGCAGCGGCGACGACGACGAAAACAGCGTCGGCAGCGGCGGCGGCGACGGCAGGGGGCTCAGTCGGCTTTACTTTTCATTGAGAAAGCGGGTCCTAAGGGAAACGGGTCTTGACGTTGTGCCGCCGTTTCTGGGCTCGTGGAGCCTTCACGGGCCCCGGAACTGTCAGAAAACGATCCAGGATGAAAAGTGGGTCCTGGGGGAAGGCCCCGGGGTCCAGGACCCGTTTCCCACTGGGCCCGTTTCTTTCATGCGTTGATCGGCCGGGCGTTGCGCAATGGGGGGCAATGCATGGGGGGGGGTCGAGAAGAGGCACACTTTTTGGGACCTAAAGGGCCCCCTGTAGCCCAAAAAGGGAACAAAATTTGTACGTTTCTCCTCCCCACCATCTACCTCCTTTCCATTGAGGAACGCACGACGGGGGCTCAGCCGGCCCTACGCGCAGGAATGGCCCCTAAACGGAGTGGCCCTCTGGTGCGGGCCCACGGGCGTGACCCCCAGGGAGGTCGGAGGGAGGAGGACTGGCTATCAGTATGGGTGCAGGCTGTCGGGCCCCAGGGGAGGCTCCTGTTCGAGCGGGAAACCCCGTCCAACAACACGCACCCAGGGCCCCGTCCGCCCCCCCTGTGCCTATGGGTGTGTGCTGTTCGTTCGTCACAAGGCTGGCCTGAGCGGTTGGACTTGACCTCCCTGCGGCCCCCTCCAGCCGCGCACCAGAGGCCGCTCTCGCCTGGGGTCACTTCTGCGTGTAGCCGGCTGAAGGAGGAGGAGGAGGAGGAGGAGGAGGAGGAGGAGGAGGGGGACTTGCCCAGAAGGGGAAGCCTCGACCCCAATGGCCCGTTCGTCGCCCATCGGGGACAGGCAAACCCACCCCGCCCGCAAGCATCGAGAGCCTGTCGCCGGTCTATCGGCGATGCATCGCCGATTCCAACCCAGCGCTTCCCCGCTGAGCCAGTCCTTTTCTGAATAATGTCAGTCCCGAGGTTAAAAGAGGAGGGCCCCCCGTCCTCTCTCAGAGCGGGGAAGAGCGCTTCCTTCGGCGAAAGATGTTTCTTCCCCCCCCTGCTGCAGCGGCTGCGGCGGCCACAGGCCGAACATGTCGCCTGCTGTGATTCGCGTGATGTCGAGAGACGTGGCTCTGGTGATCGTGGGCCGCTCGAGCATTGGTTATTCTTGGCCCCAGGAGTTTTTAGATCGAATCCTTGGACTCACATCATCGCTCCCCCTCACGGCAGGGGCGCCTCGGAGCTGTCTGGAACGAGGCCATCGTGTTCCAGCTGGCGGGTCAGGTGGTTCACGGAGCCAATGGCTGAGAAAGACATACTCGCCCCGACCTCCGGCGGGTTGATTTGCCCAATTTCGGTGTTCCTGAAATCCCAGCGGGCGGTTCTCGGGATTTGGGACCATCCTTATTATGATGGTTGGACCCCGCATGAGAATTCCCCAAAATAATATACGAAGGTGAACGTTATCATCGTCCTTGTGAGTGCAGAGGCTCTCTTCCCGTCTCCTCATCGCCCTTCTCCTTCTCGCCCTGGCGGAGGCCCGCCCCTTTTTTGGGGGTAGGTGGATCTCTCAAGCTCTCCGCCGCCTCTGGCTGTGCGCGTTGCGAGCAGGAAGGCAGCAAAGCCACAGGACAGCGCGGCATTGACAGTGTAGCTGCGCACACGTGACACATGTTAACGAGCTCTGCGTCCCCTTCCTCCTCCTGCCTCTTCTCCCCCATCCGCCGCCTCCCCCCGCCCTTCTAGCGGGGGCACGCAAGTCGATTCTCCTTGGCGCCGTCACCGCCACGGCTGGCATTGGGGCGTTCTCCGATGGCCAGGTCGCGAAGCCGCTGGGCCAAGCCCGCGGGCCAGGCCTTTGGGACAACCCCGCGAGCCGCTGGGGCCCGGGAACATGCCGTTGGGACAACCCCGCAGGTGCACACATGAGATGCGGGCCGCATAGGGAGGGGGCTCCCGCCTGAGACTTCTTCGCAATTGAGTCACAGAGGAGGTTGCAGCTCAGGTGTCCTCCATGTTCACGCCCAACGGGCCCAACAGTGACGACGGCTACAGGCTCGAGGATGACCTTTCGGACTAAGAACATGAAGTGCGGGCCCCAGAGGGAGAGGCCTCCCGCCTGAGACTGTGCCGCAACTCACACACACGCGGCTCCCAGCCGAGACGTCGTCAAGATGATTGCGTGGGTGTGTGAGTGTATATGTGAGCGAATGCGTGCGCGTGCGTGTGCAATGATGATGATGCTGGTGGTGAGTACATGTCGGGGATGATCGTGATGACTATGATGGAGGCGGTGATGGTGACGGTTGGTGGTAGGTGATCGTGCTTGGGTGGTGGTAGTGATGATGATGGTGATGATGATAATGATGATAATGACGATGGCGACGGTGGTGCGATGATGGTAGATAGTGACGACGATGGTGGTGGTGATCATAACGAGTGTGAGCGGAAAAGAAGATGAAAGGAGAGTGTGTGAGGATTGCGGGGGTTATCCAGACAAAACAAGAACCCAATTCAGGATGTGGAGAACACAGGTCATGCACAGGAGCAAGAAACGGGAAGCGGTCGGGACCTCTAAGGGCCCGCGGACCCAAACAACACATCAACGGATGTGTGGGGGTAGTTGCCGATGCCGATGCGTTTCCCTCCGCCTCGCCCTTCGGGGCCTCCAAGGGGGCCGTGGTCGTCACGGCCTGGTTCGCCTCTGAGTCGGAACACGGCCCAAGAGAATGCCAGAGAGTAGTTGTACCAGCATCCTTTCATTCTCCCAGGAGCGCATGTGGGAGGAGGACTACGTGCCCCATCAGGTTCTGGGCCAGGTCCCACAGTGGGAACGCGAGTACGTGGCGTCGCACCTCTTGCAGGCTGTGCCCCGGCGTCGCAGACCCATGGAGCTGGTTGCTGCCCCCCCAAGGATGGGGAAAGGGCGCGGGGCGATCTCCTCCATTCCCGTCGGGAACGGCGATCTGCGGTCGAAACCAACACAAGTACCACATTGGCGTACACTGTCGGAGGATCGCGCGGAGTTCTTGGATCGGCGCTGGGCTTCCCCGATGTCGGCGCCTCTGGCGCCGCCTCTTGCGCGCGTCGCCCGCCAGGGGGACAGGGGCTCAGCGCGGACCCAAGAAATCCGCGCGGACTTCCGAAGACCAATGCTTATGGTGGGGGGGCGTCCGTTCAGGATTGTGCCTAGGAGGCGTCAGACCCTGGGGGCTTTCTTATCTAATGCGAACGGCGGTGATACCCATGACCGCTCCCCAATTGGAGTTCTACCGGCTTCCAGATTCTGGACTCCTCATCCAATGGTTCTTTTTTCCAAATGGGGCGTTCCGAAAAGGGCCTCGCCTTCGAGGATCGAAGTAGTTGTCATCTCTTCTGCGGTGGAAGGGCGGCGGAAGGTCGGCGGAAGTAAAACGAGCGTCTCCGCCCGCGGAAGCCGACGGAAGGGCGGCGGAAGGTGGCGGAAGTAAAAAATGCGGCCCCCAAGAGATGAAAACGTTTTTGGGTTCAGGGTTTTCGGAATCGGCCAAACGCTCTCACCCTATGCCGTGTTCTCCCCTGCAGAGCTGCAGAGAACACTCATACGTCACCACCACCCTTGGCCAGCCACCCTGCGCCCCCAGGATTGCGTGTAATGCAGCCCGCTGGCCTCGGCGAGGGGGGGGGGCTTTACACCACGCCGGGGCCCAGGATGGCCCTGGCTGCGGCCAGGAACTTCGGCTCGGCGTGTCGCTCCGCCGGTGCTGCCCCATCACACTGCGGCGCGACACGCCGTCCGTGTTCCAACCCCAGGGCGTCCAGTCACTAGCCTTTCCCGACCTCCCGCCCCGCGGAGCGGAGCGACACGCTGTCTGCTCGCGTGGCGCAGCGTGCCGCAGGGGCCGCTGCTGCGACACGCCGCGCAAGAGTTCCCGGCAGCAGGCCTGGCGGTGCCGTATAGGTGCATGTTGCGAAGGCGAAGTCACCCCCTATGGCGCGCACGAGAGCGAGCCGCTCGAGGACTGCACGATCCTCGTGCTTCGGCTGCGGGGCATGTATGGCGAGGGGTGCACGAACGCGACGGCCCTCGACGCGCAGTACGCGGCGCGGGGGCTGCGGCGCGCCTACGTGCTGATCGGCGAGGAAGAGCGGGGGTGCACGAGGTGCCAGAGCTTCGTGGAGTCTGCGCCGCTGGTGATCCGCAACTACTGGCACGAGGACTGCGACGTGTACGAGGAGCGGGGGAAGGTGCTGACAGTCCCCCTCGGTATACGCAGACCCAGCAACGCCGCGCGTGACCAGCGCGACTTGCCGCCCTCGCGACGCCCCTACATATGGGCCTTCTCCAGCAAGGAACAGAACCCCGACCGCAAAGAGATGGTCACGCGCTTCATGGAGCATACTTTTGTTGGACAGAACAGCTCAAACGTAAAGGTATGGTATCCTGGCGAGCTCAAGCCCCAGCTGTATGGCGAATGGCTTTGCAATGCCAAATTTGCTCTCGTTCCAAGAGGGCACGTTGAGGATACTTGGAGACTGGCGGAGTCCATAGACTGCGGCGCGATTCCCATCGTCACCGATGGAGGCGCCTACTTCACACATTTCATGCCCCACAGTCTCACGGAAAGGTTCGTTACGAGCGGGAACGCATCGAATATGACCTCGCGGCATTGGGACGCGCTTTTCGCAGAGATCGACGCCCTTTTGAGCAATCCGACTGCCTTGGACGAGCATCAGTACGCCCTCACGCGTGCCTTCGAGGCTCACACGTTGGCTTGGCAGAGCAAGGTGGTTGACCGATTGCACTCCGTCGGCAAGTGATCCACGTTTGACCGGCTTGGGCTGGCTGATGCGGCGCGCTCCGAAAGAGGAAGAGATTGGATTGGATGGAAGACCTGAAGTTACGTTGTACCTTCGGGGGACCTCGCCTGTCCTCAAACATTGGTATCTTTTCTTCTGCCTGACGTGGGCTCGATGCGGGCTCGACGCGGATTCGGTTTGGATTCGACGCGGATTCGACACGGATTCGACGCGGGTCCGACGCGTTCGACACGGATTCGGCGCGGATCTTCGGCGCGACGGGACAGATAAGGTCTCCCGAAGATGCGACACAAGATTGAATGGAAGACTTGAAGGAACATGGCCCGGGGGTTGTATCCTGGAAGGGGGCGACCTGAGGGAGCGTGCCCAAGGAGTGGTAGATCATTGGCTGTGCGCGCTCAGCAGCAGCGTTCATACAATTGACTGGCTGGAGGGCATCCGGTGTAAAAAGCGAGATCCCCAACCGCACGTGTGGTTCAAGACATGTTGATTCAGAGCTAGTTGCGTCAGGAGTCAGTGGCGTGTTAAGATCACGCCACGCCAGAATATGTCACCATTTCTCAATAGTCAGGGGAATGCGAATCCCACCATGTCGTAGATAGTGGCGCTGGAGGGCGCAAGTCTCACCAGGAGGGGGGAGGGACGGGGAGAGGAGAGGAGGGCAGGTGGACTTGAACGGGTAATTAAGGAGGGAAGGCAAGGCAGCCCAAGCAGAGGATGCGGACACTTTACGTGGCCACGAGTTTCCTCACTCCTTCCCTCCCTCGTCGTGGTCGTCGTCCTTCTCATCCTCCCTCCCTGATCCCGCACTTTTTTCAGCTGCGCGCTGCAAGGCACAAGCTCAGGGAGTTCAGGCCTGCTTCATCGGGTTGGGGGGAGAGAGGACCACTCAAGCGGGGCAGGGAGGATAGAGGAGGGCACGCGACTCGGCGGGAGCCATAAAGAATCATCAGCGGATTCATTTCCCTGAGAGACCTGGACAAGGAGTCGGCCGACGTCCTCATGAGATTCAAGGAGCGCGGCCCTTTCCCCCAGAGCACCTGCCCGCCAGCCACCTGAGACTCTGACGCGCACGTGCTCTCCCTCTGGGGCGATGACGACGAGGTGGTGGAGGAGGAGGAGGAGGAGGAGGAGGTGGTGGCTTGGTAGGGCTTCGGGTTGGGTCGGGCTGGGCACAGACAGCTCCCCCAGGTAGTCCCAGCTGGCCCCAACAGGCCCCCCGAGTACTCCCAGCTGGCCTCAACAGGCTCCCCGAGTAGTCCGGGGCTGTCTTAACATTCCAACCTTGTGACGCTGAGCGCCCCAGGGGCGCCGCCGGAGGCAGCGCTAGGGTGTTGACACCGCCCCGGACTACCCGGGGGGCCTGTTGAGGCCAGCTGGGAGTACCTGGGGGAGCTGTCTGTGCGTAACTCGAAGCCTTACCAGGGTTGCCTCGTGCTTCACGCCCGTCGCTAACTGCTCTGGGCTAACAGGTCCGTGTCCTTGGGCTGGAGGTGACGACCGTAGGTCATTATTGAGATTGTCCTTGCTTTGGTCCTGGCAACCAGGGCAAAAACACCTAGTTGTTTTTCCGTCACTGGGGAGGCGAGGAAGAGGTCGAGGAGGTGGAAGACGTCGATGACGACCACATTCTGCTACCTCATATCCTCCCGCGCATCCCTCTCGTCATTCCTTGTCGCAGAGTCTCGGAGCATCCCCTCGCTGTCACCATTCGTCTGCAGGTGGGGCGAATACGGGACAACACTCTGACAACCACGGGACAACCATGGGAGAACCATGAGACAACCACGGCACAACCAAGGAACAAGCACGGCAGATCCACGGGGCGAACAAGGTTCAACCACGGGACAAACATTGGACAAACAGACGCAATTGACAGCCGTGGAACAACCACGGGACAAGCACGAGACAGACACGAGACACCGATTTAAGTATCGATCGGTTAGTGTCAACCGACCGATTTAAATATGAATCTGCCGGTCGGACTCACGATCGACCAACTCTACGATACGCATATCTGTCGGCGGTGCCCGGTGCGGAGCGACCCCCCCCCCGGTAAGCACGAACCCCCCCGTTAGCCGGCACGAAATTTCCCGGTAAGCACGACCCCCCCCCCACGCGGTATGCACGAACCCCCCCGGCATGCACGAACCTCCACCCGGATGCGTGACCGCCCCCAGGACGTGCCGGAACAAGTCGGCACCGCTCCTCTGTACGCGGCCGTTCCGTCGACCCCTCCCAGGAGGCTCGGAACGTCGTCCGGGGCAGGTGGCCCACCCGGGAGTTGCAGCTGCCTCCTGTTGCCACGTGCCCAGCAATGTCGACAACAGCGCTGGCACTTCCTCCTCCTCCGCTCCTCCTCCTCCTCCTCCTCCGCTCCTCCTCCTCGTCGTCCTCCTCCTCCTTCTCCTCCTCCGCCTCCTCCTTGCCCACCCCACCCGCACCCCCTTCCCGACCCCCCCCCTTCCCACCCACCCCACTCCCACAAGGGTGGGAGGTCCAGGTCGAAGCCCCCCCCCAGTGCGGCCTGCGCGAACCCCCCCGGTAAAGGAACAGGGGGAGGGGGTTCTGAGCCGTCGGCGGCACCCGCCGCGGCCTGCACGGAATCCCCTCAGTAGTATTTTTTGGGGGGTTGTGCCACGGGGCACCGCCGACATATATGAGCAATTTGCGTAGATTAGCTCACAATATACACCCATCCATGCCATGTTTAAAACGACATACAGACATCATACATATACATATGCATATGCATATACATATAGATATACACATACATAAATATATATATAAAAATATGTGTATATATATATACATATATATATATGTACACATACATATGAAATGCCAATGCAAGTACACACCCTATACCTAGACATACACATATACATATAGAGAGAGAGAGAGAAACTTAATCAAAAAAACAATGTATATATACACGTGGACCGCCCCCCCGCCCAGCGTCCATTCATTACCAGCATTCACTTACGACTGTGGTGTTCTGTCTTCCCTCATCATCCTCGTCTTTGTCCCCCCCTCTCTCTCATTCTCCCTATCCCTTTATAGTTCTCGTTGCGTGCCTTTCTCGTTATCTCTGTATATCTCTTTCTGTCTCTCTTTCTCTTTCTCTCTTTCTCTCTCTCCTCCTTCTCGCCAGTCGGCTTCCCAAGGCGTCCGCTGTTATCCTCAATTCCAAAGGTGGTGTAGCGCGCGCTCTGCCAGAACGCATTGTAGACGGCGAAAGGACGCCATCCTCCACAGATGAGGACTTCGGCTTGAATGGACCCGCCCACAAACACGTCGGCTCACAAAATCCGATGTTTTCAGTTGGGCATGTTGGATTCCGGGGCCGAAAATGCGGAAACCCCGCATTTTCATGTGGACATGTTGGATTTTGGGGGTTGTTCTCCTTCCATCGACAATCCTGCACAGGAGCCCCCCCAAGGAACTCCGATCCCCAGAATCCCACACATCCGAATGACAACACAAGGTTTGCGATGCCAGGGGCGCGGAAACCTGGCGTTTTCATTGTGGTGGTTGGGGTTTCTGGGATGAGGGGGGGAGGAACCTTTGCGTTTTCATGTGGACACGTGGGATTCCTGCAGCTCTGAACCTCCGCGGTCTCCTGGGTCGGATTTCGCTGGAGCGAGGAGAGCTCTGCTATTGGCTGTACAAACATCAACGCGGCTTCCTCCTTCCGAATTCCAGAGATTCCGAACATCAGAATGAAAACGCAAAACTTCCGCGCCCTGACCTCGCAGACCTAGCGTTTTAATTCGGATGCTTGGGATTCCAGGGTCTGGAGTTTCAGGGAGGGCTCCAGGGCGGGATGTTCCTTGGGAGAGGAAGGTTCTAAAAAAACCCAAAGAACAATCCAAATTAAAACGCGAGGCCCCCTAGCTCCTCATCCCAGATATACACCCAAACGAAAGCACAGGGTTTCGGGGGCCTTGGCGTCGCGAACCAAGCGTTTTCACATGGAGTGATCTGGGCGTTTGGGATTCTCCCTCCATCTGACGGAAGCTCTGCCCAGGAGCCCTCCTGAAGTTCATAGCCACAATCAACGGCGGCAGGGTTTATAAGGTCATCGCAGGAGCCCAGCACGGACAGTTGCTGCAATTCTTAAGCCAGGCGTCGCACAGCATCGCGCCCGTCCCACAACACAACTCCTTGCCGCGGTCCCAGCGCACGAATGAGAAGTTGCAAACTTCCTGCTTGGCGAGAGCGGGGCCGACGGTCTCGTTATCCCCAGCGAAGCGGCGGAGGTCGCGCCGGATGCCGTCGATGACCTGGGTGCCTGTTTTGACCCAGATCCTCTTCTCTGCGCCAGTTTTCACATGATCTGGGACGTCGCGACACGGTTTCTGGCTGCAGGGCGGTGCGAGCCGCGCCGCCCAATCGCGGACGACGCAAGGCTCCGTCAGTCTGTATGACCGCGGGCCGCCGGCGTGGAAGATCATCACATTCCGCCCCATCAGCCACTTCATCGGGGGCGGCGCCCAATCCGCCGCGCGGATAGGCCCAGGGCCAGGGGCTCAGCGCTTCGCCCTCTCTGGATGGAGGCGGAACAGCACGAGAAACTCGGGGGCGCCACGCTGCGCAATCCCGCCCCGCTGCCCCCGCGCCATCAGTTAAGCGTCGGAATATTTTTCTTCACCAAGCTTACCTCGTCGACAGCGACGCCCGCGCACTCCGCGCGCGCGTGGCGCGCGCAGCGTGGAGCCCGTTGGATGGCGTTGAATATTTCGTTGCTGAAGGACTCGATAATCTTCGGAACTGCGAAACCGCCGCCGGCGAGCTTCGACGCGCGCAGGTTGAGGAACACCGGGATCTCCGTCATCGCGGGAAATCCCAGAGGCGCCGGTTGGACGTTGCAGCCCCTTTCCTTCATGACCCCATGGATCGCGCGCTCCAGTCGGCAGTGGACAGGTCACCAGGGGAAACGGCGACGTCCACAACGTAGTTGATGGACTTCTGCCCGCGGCCCTCCCAGTGCTCGACGGGCAGGTCCCACGCGATCGCGCTGCCTGGGCTGTCAATCGAGCCCTTCAGCATGGCCTCAGTGAGCGTCGCGCGGGGTTTCTTTCCATGCACCGATTCGAGCGCGCGGTGGAGGACGTCCTCGGCGCGGTTCGGGCGCTCGATGGCGCGGCCGAGGGTGGCCATCCCCATGGCCGCCACGTTTGCCATTGCAGTGGGCATTCGGCTGGAACGCAAGAAAGCAAGCAGTAAGCTGGAGCCCGTCGCGCTCGCGACGGGGAAAAAAAGCAAGCGGCGGGCAGCGCATGCGGCGGCGTTGAGCGCAGCATTTCCAGACAGGTATATCGGAGATTGATAGACCTCTTTCCCTGACATGTCGATTGGTGAATCGGCCGTTTTCGGTTCGCGAGATGGCGTCGCGACCGTCATTTGTGCGGGTCCAGGTCTGTCGGTTTCGGTCAAAAGCCGTTTTTGCGACAGGGTGGTTTTCTAAAGGGAGGTTTATCCACCGCCGAGTACAGCGTTGGAGATCTCCTTGTATTGACAGGGGGATCTTGTTGAATCTCCCCCCCGCAATGTCGTCGGCCGACACGCGAAGGCAAGCGGCCAACACCACGAGAGAGGCACCCAGTGTTGAGGCGCGCCCGAGCAGAGCCGAGAGGCAGTTTGCACAGCCTGGGAGGGGGAGCTCTTGGGCCGTTTCGGGCCGTCGGAATGCCGGAAAAACGCAAACGCCCAAAGCTTTCAAAAACCTGAGGAAGGTCAATGATGTTGGCTTCTTCGGGCCTTCATGGAGGCCCTCCTGGAGGCTTGCACAGGCCAGGCAATTCAATGCGCCAGCATGTAAGTGTTTCGTTGGCCAGGTGTGCGCAGGCTCGTCACTGCGAACCCACGCAGCGAGGGGATGGCTGGCCCTTCGAGGCCCACGTCTTGGCGTCCACGGGCAGACGAGCCCAGCCCTTCTTATCCTGAGGCGATGCCCAGTAGTTGAAGCGTTCCTGCTTGGAGCGAAGGTGGCGAGTGCGGCCTGGCCTGGTCCAGCTCAGCTTGCAGGTCCTGCTTGCGCTCTTCGTGTTTGCCGCTCTCCTGTGCTTGCTGACGCTTCGTGTCCTGCAGTTGTCTGGGCACGTCCTCCTGCTCCCGCTAGTTCATGTTCGCCGTGTGAACGTTCTGTTGTTCTTGGAATGTTTGTCAAAGCGCGCGCCGTCGCGCGTGGAGGTTTTCGGCCAAAGCATCGCAGAGGGTATTCTGCGAGTGCGCCATGTGATCCGTCGCCGTTTGTTCCGGCGGCATCCTCGCCCAAGGCTTGTTGACGTAGTTCTTGATCGCCCTGGCCCAGGCTCTGCTCCTGTTCGCGGCTCGCTTCTTACCGAGGGCCTTTTTCGACGAGGCTGGCGCGCTGGCAAGAGCAAGCCAACTTGAGCCAGCAGGGGCGACTGACGCCGCAGGGCGGGAGAGAAGGTTGACGAGAGAGAGAGAGAGAGAAACAGAAAACAGACAAACAAAAACAGCGAGAGAGAGAGAGAGACGGAGAGACAGTGATAAAGAAAGGGAGAGTGAGGGAAGTAGAGAAAGAGAGAGAGAGAGAGCCTGAGAGAGAGAGAGAGAGAGAGCCTGAGAGAGAGAGAGAAAGGAAAAGATGAAGAGGAGGAGGAGGAGGAGGAGGAACAGACGAAGGATGAGAAGGAAAAGGGTACAGGAGAAGGGGGGCCGGGGAGGAGGAGGTTGATGGCGGACAAGCAGATGGAGGGGAGGAGTGAGGGGGGAAGGAGGGGGAGGAGGGGTAGGAGGAGGAGGAGGAGGAGGAGGAGGAGGACAAGGAGGACAAGGAGGACAAGGAGGAGGAAGAGGAGGAGGACGAGCAGGAGGAGGAGGGGGAGGAGGAGAAGAAGGGGGATAAGGAGGAAAGAGGTGATGAGTGGAAGAAGCGGAGTGATGAGGAAGGATCTGGGGCGGAGGACAAGCGGAAGGATGAGGAAAATGAGTCGTAGGACAAGCGGAAGGATGATGAGACGGAGAGTACATCAGAGAGGCGAAGGGGCCGTCTTCGAGGCTTCCTTGGCTGTCTTGAGGCCCTTCTGGGTCGTCCTGGGGCCCTCTTGGAGGCCTCTTGAGTCGTCTTGGGGCGATCTTAGGTGGCACGTCATGGGGGGCGGCGGCAGCGGCTGGAAGCCGAGGGCTCCTCTCAGAGGCCTCCTCGGGGCAGGCGCCAGCACTTCGCAGGGACTCGGGGGAGCCCTCGCGGCAACGCCTCCTAGGTCCTAGGCTGCACTCTGACCCCCCTCCCGTTGGAGGCCGCCAACTGATTATACACTTCTCGGAGGAGGAGGAGGAGGAGGAGGAGGAGGAGGAGGAGGAGGAGGAGGAGGAGGAGGAGGAGGCACCCATACCGCTACCCCTGCATCCTTTGCCCCCGTTTTGGGCCTAGGCACTCGTCGCCACCGCTGGATTCGCTTCGAAATCTGGGTCAGAACTCACCCCAGGAGAAGTCCGGGGAGTAGCGGTATCGATACCTTATGATGTCCCCAATTTCGGTAAACCGGTCCTGGCCAGGCCCGTCCTGGGCCAAAGATCGGCGTATACGGTCAGGAGCTTTGGCTTTGCGTTTCGCGCCGCCTGTTTCCATGCTTCGGCGCGACATGCTATCACACCACGCTTCGGCGCGACATGCTATCCGTCCTGGTCCCAGAGCGTCAGTGTCTCAAGCTTTTCCCGACCTCCCACCTCGCTGAGCGGAGCGACACGTTGCATCACCTTGCAAGGCACAGCGTGTCGCTGGGGCCGCAGGTGCGACAGGCTGAGCAAAAGTTATGTCATCAAACATCCGCTCGGCACAATGAATTGAAGTTGGTCCCAAGGAGGGAGTCGAGACCTCCAGGAGTCCACGCTGTGGAACAAGATCAGGGCGTCGGGCGGGGATCTGGGTTGCCCATCCCTCCTCCATCGTTGCTCCTCGCAATTGACCCCGTGAGAAACGAAACTCGTCCCCGGAAACAGCAGGGTGTATCAGGAGCGGCGTTCTCAGAAGGCGAAAATAATTAGCCGGATATGTTGAAAACGAGTTGTTGCAATGGGCCGGTCTCGCTGGCCAAGGGATACGATGCGAGAGCACATTCAACGGAATGCATTTTCAGGGCGAAGTTCAGCAGCGGACGAGCGGGAAATTGCAAACATGTTGCGTACAGGCCGCTTGTTCGCCGTTCTATGAGCTGCGGCGCTGCGCTCATTCCATCTCATGACTCGCGAACAGTTCAGCATTTTGTTCAATGCAGCCCCGTCGTGTCCAGAGCGACCGCGTTCCCGCGATGATGCGTCTCTAGATGCCAGGCCAGGCCGAGCTGCATGCACTAACAAACAGGCGCTGCAAAGGATTGGGCTGAAGGCGTGTTCGGCAACCTCCAATTCGCTTTCAAAGTGATGGACGAGAAGAAGGCGAACGCCTTGTCCTACGCCAGATTTAGAAAGGTGCTGCGCCCAGTTGTCACAGGGCCTAGTCTGTCACCAGCACGCTGTCCGTTTCCTTGCCCGTTTGTTTATGAGATCGTGTTTCCAGAACGTGTAGTGTGTGTAGCGAAGTGCGTCGGAACAGGACTTCCGAGCACGACAGAAGGATTGCCTGATCCTGCAGGTGGGCGTGAGGCCCCAAGTCAGCCTGAGTCACTGTCCCTTCGTGGTCCGCCACCTGGTGCTTCGTGGGCCCCTTTGCCCCCTTGCCCCGCAGCGGCCTTGGGTCCTCAGACTCCTTGGGTCCTGATGCCCGTGCGTCCTCGCATGTTCCCTAGTGTTTTTGACTTGGCTCTTTGAGCTCCTTGGGTCCCCATCCATGCTGGTGCTCATCGGTTCCTGCCAACCCCTGCAATGAACTTCGAGACCGCACGGCGGCGTTCGCACAGCCTTTCTGACCCCACGAGCCCGAACTCGGTTTCCCTTCCGCCGTGCGTGTTGGACTGGTCTTGTGGAGCGCGCTGCGAGGATGCACGCGTGCACGCCCATGGTATGGACAGATGATTCCCCTTGCACGGGTCGAGGTACGCGCGCGCACGTACGCACACACATACACACATACAGGTGTCCCCTGGACGCATCGATGGGATCCGTTCGAAGAATGCAAAGCTATGGGAGGCGTAAGCAACGAGATGGCCACCTTGTCTGGAGGCGCGCACTCGACTGGAAACCTGGAGACAGGCCACGCGGAAGCGAGCTGGGGAAGCACGGCCGGCAGGAGTTGAAAGGGCAGGTTGGAGGCGAAAGGGACAACGGAAGTTGCCGAGCAGCAGCCGGGCCAGGCCCCAGCCGAGAGGGCGGAGCGGGAAAAGCGCGGGCGAAGCACGAGAGGTACAGGATCACCGCCGCCCGCAGCATGCCCACACGCACTTTTCGGCGGTCGCGGCCTCGCGCGCAGCGTCGAGCGGAGAAAGTCACCGAACGGGCGGGCGCGCGTGCGTGGGGGCGCCCAGAGCGTGCGGGATCCACCTTGACACCCACACACACACACACACACACACACACACACACACACACACGCGGCCACGCGGCCAGAGGCAGTCGGAGGGTCGCGGCCACGAGGCCAGAGGCAGTCTGCGGTTTGGCGTCGCGGCCACGCGCGTAGCGACGCGGCGGAGGCAGCCGGAGGGTCGGAGCGCCACAGTGGCCACGGCCGCGGCGAGGGGACTCACACGGCTCTGAAACGCACGCACACACAGCACGAACACGCATAAGAATGGACGGGTGTCTCTGTCTCGCACGCGACAAGTGTTTCGTAGCCTCAGGAAAGACATCCAGAAGCCTCCAGAGGACCACAGAATGTTCTCCAGAGCGTCCCAACCTCCGCGATGAGAAGCATTGACCACGATCTGGTTCTTTAAGAAATCTAGTGGGAATCAGGGGCCCATCCATGCCGACAGAAGGGGAGGAAGAAGAGGCGCAGGAAAGGAGGGGAACAGCAAGTCCCACAAGTTGCGCTTTGGCTTTTGTTCAAGATGCGAGGAGGTGCCAGGGAACGTCTCTGCCCGCGCAAGCCCAAGGCGCTGCAGGATTACGGGTACAGGGGCGACGCCAAGGTGCTCTTCGAGAGCCTGAAGCCGGGCGGAGGGGACCAGCGCCGCAGGGACGTGCGGCTGACCCTGGAGGCCCCCCTTTTGCTTCAAGGGAATCGCAGACATGGATTGGCGACGGGCCCCGTTTCCATGCGAATTCGGCGCGCTCCGTCGCCAAATCGGACGGTATTGACGGCACGTTTCGCCCCAATCCGTGGATTTGGCGCCCACGCGCCAGATCCACCGATCTTTGAGCCATGTCAGCGCGTGCCTCCTCGGGACCGCGGACGGGGAAAATCACATCGTCGGATGCCAGGGCTTTCTGTTCTTTAATCGAAGGCCGAAGAATTGGCTGAGATGTGGATTTTCGGGCCGGACCACGCGGATGTCTTGAGTCGGCGTTGTGCCCTCTTCACCATCATCCTTGCCGGATCCTCTGGCGCTGCCCCCCGCGATGGAGACGACGGTGAAGGGGCGTGCTGAGGGGGTCTAGCGTCGATCCGAGAAATGCGCGCGGACTTGCGAAAGTATACAACCAGTTGAACAAAGGGAATGCAACGTCCGAGGGCGAACACGGAGGGAGGAGGAAGAGAAGGAGGAGGAGGAGGAGGAGCAGGAGGAGTGGAGCCAGGAGCGGGAGGAAGAGAAGTATACGACTCCAAGGTGGAGGAGGAGGAGGAGGAGGAGGAGGAGGAGGAGGAGAATGAAGAGGAGGAGGAGGAGGATCGATGAGTTTTGTCGAGCCATCCTGTTGTGTCGGGTCCTCGTTTTGAAGAGACAGCGCCCCGCGTCTCCTCTCCGCCCCCCCCTCTCCTCCCATCCCTGTCCCCGCCCTCCACATGTCTATTTCGGAACATCCCTCACACGTGGCGTGGCACAATAGGGAGCTCCACCAACGCCACCAGGAAGGGCGGTTCTTACCCATTTCGGCATACCTCACACGCGCGGCCCCACAGGGAGTTCCACCGAAGCCCTCAGGAAAGCGGGTTTCGCATGCGGTGCGCACCCATTTCGGCAACCCCGTCACACGTTTCGTAGTCCCACCCGGAGCTCCACCGAAGCCCCCACCCCTGACACGCTTCGTGGCCCACAGGGAGCTCCACCGAAGCCCCCAGGAGGGGGGGAGGGGTCGCATGCGGTTCTGGGCCATTTTGGCACACACGCACACACACACACACACACACATCACATTTTCTGTGGCCTGGGAGCTCCACCGAAGCCCCGAGGAACAAGAGGTCCCATGCGGTTCTTACCCATTTCGGCACACCCCTCACACGTGGGGTGGCCCCACTGGGAGCTCCAGCGAAGCCCCCAAGGAGAGGGTGGGGTGCCGCATGCGGTTCTTACAAATTTCGGCAACCCCGTCGCACGTTTCATGGTCCCACAGGGAGCTCTACCGAAGCCCCCATGAAGGGGGTTTCGCATGCGGTTCTTACCCACGTCGGCACACCCGTTACATGTTTCGTGGCCCAACAGGGAGCCCCCACCCATTTGGGGCACATCTTTACACGTCCCGTGGCCCTACATACAGCCCCCCGAACCCCCCAAGAGGGGGGGGTCGCACTCGGCTCCCCTTCCATTTTCGGCACACCCTTGATATGTTTCGTGGCCCCATGGGGAGCTTCACCGACGCCCCCAGGAAGGGGGGTTGGCATGCGGTTCTTACCCATGTCGCCACCCCTCACACGCTTCGTGACCCCACAAAGAGTTACGCCGAAGACTTCAGGACGGGGGGGTCACATGCGGTTCGCACCCATTTCGCCACCCGTCACACGTTTCGTGGCCCCGCAGGGAGTTCCACCGAAGACCTCAGGAAGGAGGTTTCGCATGCTGTTCTTACCTGTTGGGGCAGGCCCGTTACACGCCTCGTGGCCCAACAGAAGCTCCCGAAGCCCTCGGGAAGGGGGGTCGCATGAGGTTCTTACCGATTTCGGCACCCTCGCTACACGCTTCGTGGTCCCATAGGGAGCTCCACTGAAGCCCCCAGGAAGGGGGTTTATCGTGCGGTTCTTGTCTATGTCGGCACCCTTGCGGCCAACGGGGCGCACGCGGTGACTCCCAGGGCTGGAGGGCCGCGGAACGAAGGGCCAGGTGCCCAACCAGCTCGCCAGCTTCGCCCTCCAAGCGCCGACGGTACAGCTGGCGAGCAGCGCGCAGACAGCTGGCCACCCCGAGCAGCCCGAGGACCTCGGCGACGTCCACGCGGGCGACCTTCGCAGGCAGCGCCCCGCCATCACGCAGGCTTCTCGGCCTCGACGACATGCGCGCTGCAAACTGGCCCCCACAGCTGCGCGAGTGGACGGCGCAGGGCATTGGCACGCTGGCCAAGCGACTCACCGCCCAGCATGGGAGGGTCACGTGGAGCCGCTCAAAAGACACGTACGCGGCACAAGACGAGCACTCTGGAGCGCCGAGGAGTGGCCGCTGTACAGAGAGCGGCCCGCTCGGCGGAGACGAGATTTACACCGGCGGAGACGAGGCCGACGTCCCGCCGAGCAAATGGGCCAGCCCCTTCCCCGTCGAGTGCCACGGCTGGATCCCCCCGCCAATTCGGTGGCGCGGGGCCACCGCACCGCGCAGGCCGCTGGGGTCCCGGCTTCCAGATGTCCCCGGACTTGGGGCGCGAGCTTTTCGAGGGGATCGTGCAGGCCATGGGCAGTTCGGCAGCCGCGGAGCGCGCCCCGTGCGAGACGGCGGCGCAGGCGCGCCCGACCAAGACCGACCCGAGCGAGCCGCTCGACTTCGTGAAGATGGAGGTCTGCGAGGCAACTGGAGGGTTTCCCGAAGGCGGGCGCGAGCGCGAGCAGCGGCGGGGCTTCACGCGACCCGTCGGGGCGGGAGCCCAGCCCACACGCTGGCGCGTCGCGCCCCTCCCATCCAACCCAGAGGACGCCGAGGCCAGCGGGGAAGAACTACATCCTGGGCAACTACAGGGGCTGGCACGAAGTCCTCCTCTCGCTCGTCACCGACGCCAAAGGCGCACATCGTCTTAGCAGGATTTGTGCAGACGGCGGGGCACGCGGGCCAGCGTGTTCGTGGACGAGGTCTACAGCAACACCGCAGGCACCTTCGGCATCTCCGGCGCCTCGGAGTGGGAGGCCATGCGGTTCGGCACCGCGCTGCGAGCGATCCTCCGCTTACGGGGCAGCATCTGCCCCTTGGGGCGGCTCGCCCACGCCGACGACCTGGAGGCCATCGGCTCGGAGCGACGCAGGGGCTGGGCTGCCCTCAACGGGGTCACCTTCGTCGGCGGCTTCGGTTTACCGGGGCAGAGGGCCAGGGCGCGGGGCGGCCTCGTGTTGGTCCGGACCAGCCTCCATGGCGATTTCACCGTGTTCCTCTCGGAAGAAGCGAGCAGCTTGTCTGGCCAATTGGTGTTTGGAGATGGTCGAGCGCGGCGCTGTCCACATGAACGAGGTGGCGGCTGGCTAGGGATGCCCGGGCGTCGCGGCGACGGCCTCGTCGGGGAAAGACCGTCCCCCGGGCCCGCATGCGCCTGGACCTCCAGCGTCGACAGGTCCGGCAAGAAAAGGGCCTCTTGGCCGTGGGCGGCCAAGCTCGCGCTGACGGGGATCGGGCAGGCGAGGCTCAAGGCGCCCGTCAAGTTCGAGGGCGAAAATGCCGGGCAGTTTCGCTCGGTCGAGCCCGTGAGTTGTCGGGAGAGTAGGGGGCAGCGCGCTGAGGAGGGCGCCAGCAGCGGCGGGGTTCCACGCGACCCGTCGGCACGGGAGCCGCCCGCGAGCTGGCGGGAGAACCAGGAGGCAGCCCGCTGAGGAGGAAGCCAGCATCGGCGTGGCTCCACGACCATTCGGCGCGGGAGTCACGTTCGCGCGCAGGCGGGAGCACTGGGCCGCCGCGCGCCCACGCCACGAGAGAACTTCATAAGCGAGCGCGCCTCAGGAGGCGGACGACCACGGACACATGAAGGCATAAGAAGTGACGAAGCCCTCAGGATCCACGTGGCGCCCGAGGATCCGAGGTGGCACGTGATGGACGACGCGATGAAAAGCCTTCCAGGAGCCACATGAGACCATCCCCGAGGAGAGGGAGGCACGAGCAGGGAGAGCGGCCGCCCCGCGAGGCGGCCCGGGAGGCCGCGCCCGCCGCGGCGCCTCGAGCCGCGGGCTCCGCGACGCCCACTCGGAACACCTCCCCGCTCGGAGGCCGTCGAGCCCTCGCCTTGGAGCGCGGCCTGGGCGGGACTTGGCGTCGGCCCTCCGAGCAGGGGGGCGGCTGCATGGCGTGGTTCCCAGGTGGTTTGGGGCGCCCCCCGTCCGGCGGGCTCCTCCACGTCGGGGGCGCCCTCCTACAGGCGGGGCCCCCATCCTTCTGCCGCGGGCGGGGGCGGGAGTCCAGGGCGGGGGGGAGCTCTCTGGGGGATGGGCATGTCTTCGAGACCGCGCCTCTCGGCCCCACGCACACGCGAGTGGGGGGCAGCGGCGACGGCGCTGTGACAAGAGAGGTGAGACGGCGGGTGGGCCTCCGACGCTTGCAGCGTCCGGGGGGGGGGGGGGGGGGGCAGCACCCTCCCCCTCACCTCAGGGTATCTTCCCCCCCCCCCCTTTCATGGTGCCTCACTCCCATCGCATGGGGGGCATCGACTTTCAGCGAGTGGCAAGGGCCCTGAGCCAGGGCTCCTGGAACCGCGACCCAGACCGCCATCGCCCCGATAGTAGGGCCCTTCGAGGATGCTCCTCCGCCTGCCAACACGTGAGTGCATTCTCCTCAACCTCTGGGCTCAGACGCTCGGCCGTGTCAGTACAACCCACCCACCCCCTGGGGCACCAAGTTCTTGGGTGTGGCAAGGACCCTGAGCCAGGGCCCCCGGAACTGCCACCCGGAAAAAGGTCATCATTGTCATTTCTCCCTTTTTCCGCCATCTCACCGCTATTAGGGCCGATCGAGGACATTGCTCTGTGTGTTGCCAGTGATGATCGGCCAGCGCAACTTAGCAGTTGTTTTACGGGGTGGGCAGAGAGGGTGTCATTGGCCTGGGTTTGTCGCGGGCGGGGTGGGGCAGGGCGCGTACATCAACAAGCAGCAGTGATAAAATCTTCCCCGAAGACGAAAGAGGGTGGTTGGAAGAGGGTTCTTCCTCAACGGTTCACGCCTCGAGGGTTGGTGGGATCTTTCCGTGCCCATTGCCGTTAGCCAGAGCGGCGACCCTAGCGCGGGCATTCCTCGCTGAACGCCGCAAGTTGCATGGAATCGGCTGATATCGAATGGGCTGCGCTGACGGACACACGCGATCGTTCAGGGTTGAACGATCCAGGCGGTGTCAACAATGAATCGACCTATACCCGTCGTAGACTGTTCGTGGGTCGACGTGCCAATTCGCCTGGGCAGCTAGGTCGCCCTCGCGTTGCAAAAAGCTGCGCCTTCTGGCGAATACTCTTCTCCCAACAGCGCGCGGAAGCTTTCCGAGGTAGGCTTTGCCCACCAGGCGGGTCCGCGCGAGTTTTTGGGATGGCATAGTTGCCTCGCGCCTGTATCCCTTCGAACGCCAGGCTGGCCCTGTCTTGTCGCCCTTGTTGCCCATCATTTTGCGAGGGTTGCAGCCCAGTTCTTGGTGCGCCGCCATGTTGCCTCTGAGCCCGCTGGCAGCTGCAGGTACAGTGGAGGTCCATGCCAAGAAACACCCTGCGTGCCTCCAAGGTGCCCTGGCTTTCTTGGGTTTCGATGGTCTTGCTATGGAAAGCGTGACGTTCCCACACCAAAATTCAATGGACGTCCTGGGGTCTCAGGGTTGGGTTTCTTGTGGAACGTTTCTCGTGGACTGGCCTCCACTGTATCTCCTGGACACGTGCGGGCGGTCAGGGTGTGAGGGCGGGCGGGCTCCCGTTGCTCGCCAGGCAGGCTTGTACCACGGGGCTGGCCGAGCCGTGGCCCGTCTTCGCCGCGCCTTCGGGCACCTGGCTCTGGCTTTACTGCCCTCGCTGTTCGGGCGGGCTCCTCCCGCTGCTAGTCTGATCGGCTGTGACCTTCGGCCCCCGCTGTCTCTCAGAGAAACGGCTCGCCCGACTGAGCCGCCCATGCTTTTCGGAGCCGAGCAGTCCAGCGGTTCTGCCGTGTCCTATTAGTTTCCTTTGTTCTCGCTGGTGACCTCCATGGCTTTCTGCCGAAAACGTCCCGGTATCGCTTGGGCCTGACGTGATATGGTAGAAGATCCCAAGGCGAAACCAAACTTTTCCCCTGCCCCAAAACGGTTACCACTAGAAGGGTGTCTGCGCAAATGTGAGGTATTCGGCTCCACCCCCGAAACGGCAACGACGAGGAGGACGACGACGATGACGATGACAAGGACGAGGGCGACAGTGAAAAGGCCCAAGGAGGACGCCGCCCTCGCAGCGGTGGCACGCTGCCACCCGAGAGGACCTGATGTACCTCTCCTCGTTGCGCACCGACCTCGCGGGCTTCGGGGAGCCGGGCAATGGGAGGCCGCCGGGCCACCCCAGTCGGCGGCGCGGAAGAGTGAGCGTTTTGCCGGTGAGACCCCTCGTGCGGGCCCACATCGGAGGCGACGACACAGTGGAGACCCATGCTAAGAAACACCCTGCTCGCCTCCAGGGTGCCCTGGGTTTCTTGGGTTTCGAGGGTCTTGCTATGGAAAGCGTGACGCTCCCACGCCAGAATTCAATGGACGTCCTGGGGTCTCAGGGTTGGGTTTCTTGTGGAAGGTTCCTAGTGGTCAAGCTCCTACTGCAGGGGCGAATTGCCCACGGGGGAGCAATGCATGTATCCAAGGGGCGCCGATGGTCCATGTCTTCGGCGTGGCTTCCGGAGGGATGCGTGTATCAAGGGAGGAAAAGCCACCCGGACCGGACAATTGGCGTTTGCTAAATTGCCCTTGGCGTTTATTGAAAGCCTTGCCCTGTTGGATTCCTTCCTTGGGTGCGTTTACTAAACGGTTTCGCGTGCCGGGGTGGTTATTATGGGGGTGGATTTTCCGCCCTCTAGTGTACTGCCCGCCCCTGGGGCGTTCGCCCCTTATCGTCGCCTCCGACCACGGGCTTTCCCCTCGGCACTGGCCTGCGCGCACAGATGTCGCAGGGCGCGAGCCCTGGGCCGCGGCCTCCTCCTCCTCCTCCTCCTCCTCCTCCTCCTCCTCCTCCCTCCTCCTCCTCCTCTTCCTCCTCCTCCCCCTCCCCCTCCCCCTCCCCTCCTCCCCTCCTCCTCCTCCTCCTCCTCCTCCTCCTCCTCCTCCTCCTCCTCCTCCTCCTCCTCCCTCCTCCTCCTCCTCCTCCTCCTCCTCCCTCCTCCTCCTCCTCCTCCTCCTCCTCCTCCTCCCCTCCTCCTTCCTCCTCCTCCTCCTCCCTCCTCCCTCCTCCTCCTCCTCCTCCCTCCTCCCTCCTCCTCCTCCTCCTCCCTCCTTCCTCCTTTCTCCTTCCTCTCCTCCCTCCCCCTCCCTCCTCCCTCCTCCCTCCTCCCTCCTCCCATCTCCCTCCTCCCTCCTCCCTCCTCCCCTCCCTCCTCCTCCTCCTCCTCCCTCCTCCTCCTCCTCCGCCTCCTCCTCCTCCTCCTCCTCTCCCTCCTCCTCCTCCTCCTCCTCCTCCTCCTCCTCCTCCTCCCCCTCCTCCTCCTCCAGATAGGCAAGGGCGCGCAGTGCCACCAGTGTGAGGCCGACAAGGGGAGGCCGAGGAGGCGCGGCAGCATCCGAGCCGCCGCAGACGTCGGGGGTGCGTGTCAGAGCAGTGCAACGGCGTGCACCGCTACAGTCAACCTGCATAGTAAACTTCATGGCGCCCACATCGCAGAGCGGATTTCGTGCTGAAAACGATAGGATGGGCCCAAAGTGTCCTGGAGCATGTTGTTCCGGATTTCCAGATGAATTTCGTGCGGATTTGTGCACGGCCAGGAATGAAGGTTAAAATAAATCCAGGCGAAATTCACTTCGTTTTTCAATCGCCGTGTCGGGGTTTTGCATGGACCGAAATCCATGCAAAAATCCGCTGCAGCACGTCTGCAAGGGTGGCCTGCCGATAAACCTTCCCAAAGGTACCCATGCATCCGAGCCCCTGCGGCCCATCCTTGGCGACTTTCGCGGCCAACCTCGATGGAACAACGCTCCCATTGGCCTCCGAGGCCCTTGCATCCTCACCGCGCATCCTTCTGATACGGATTGACTGCATGTACGGCAGCAGAGGAGGGCGGAGAGGAAGGAAGGGATGGGGTGAAGTATTGCGAAGGCCTTACGGCCGATGCCGCCGACCCTGGAGACGACCCTGTCGTCTGGGCGCGCCAGCCCTCGCGGATCGGACGGTGGCTGCGAGGCGCTGTCGGACGTCGGGGGCGTTGAAAGCGCGCTTGCCGCGCTCGGGAAAGTGTCCCTCCTCCGTTCTGTGATGGGGAGGAGGAGGAACAGGCGGAGGAGGAGGACAAGGTCGAAGAGGAGGGAATACCCGGTTGTTTTGTAACTTCCCAGTTTGTTATGTAGCTTCCTAGGGGAGTTTTTGGGGCCTCTCGGGAGCCTCTTGGGGCCTCTGTCGGCTTCCTGGAGGGCCTCTTGGGAGCTTCTCGGGGCTGAGGGCTCGAAATGTGCGTTCGGGTCCCCCGTCTGGGCGCTCTCTTGGCACCGTTTTGGAAGCTTTTTATGAATCTGGGAGGCGTCTTGGGCCGTCATGGGGCACTTGTGGGGTGGGCCGTTTGGAGACCCTCTCGGAGGCCTCTTGGGCCGTGTCGGGGCGATCTTAGGAGCCTCTTGGGCCGTTTTTGGCGCGTGGGGAAGCGGGAGAGGCGAAAACGCCAAAAATCATTGAAAAACGTATGGGAAATCCATGATTTGTACCTCTTGGAGCTCTCGTGGGAACGGTCCTGGAGGCCTCTTGGGGCGTCTCGCAGGCCTCTTGGGCCGTCTGGAGGCCGTCGAGGCGTCTTGGACAGATCATTCGGCGATTCGGCGCTCTCTTGGATCGTCTTGGTGGCCTCTCTGGGCACTCTTGGCCCGTCTTGGGGCTTTTTTGGGCTCCGGGATTCCCCGGGGGGGCGGCGTAAAAACCTGGGACCCCCCCCGGGACCCACCCCGGGGGGCGGGTTAAAACCCGGGACCCCCCCCCGGGACCCCCCCCCCCCGGCGGGGAAGGGATCAAAGGGAAGGGCGGGAAGGGGTTTCCTTTCGACTCAATTACGACATCGCTCAATGTCGCCGAGGAAGGAACAGACGGAGAAGCCTCTCCCACACGCCGACAGGGTCGGCGGATTCCTCCAGCGCGCTTGGGGTCTTGCAGCGTGGCAGTGGAGCCGCAGCGGTTGTCGCATCGGCGACAAGTGGGTCCCCGCATTTCGGCCGCGCGGCGAATGCCCAGGTTCCAGTCAGCCGTCGCATGCGGCATCCGCCAAGACACGACTCTGTCAAAACTGATTTAAGGGTTGATGCCAGCGCTCCGCGCTCATGGCCATAAGATTGAAACATGTCATGGGCGCTGGGGGCCATACCACATGTCTCGCGCTCTGCCACTTCACGCTTTCAGTTTCAATATGAATGTCTGGCCGATGGGCATATCCTAAGTTTCTGTCGGCGCCCAAGTGACGCAAGCAAGTTCCTTTCAACCGCTTGAATGGCACATGCAACCACGATTTGTATGCTGGTTCCCACTAGGGCATCACGCGTCCTTGCGCGCGTGCGATCCTTCGCGTGCATGCACGTCGGAATTGCAGAGCGCCATGTTTGACTTAGCCTTGTCAGTAATAGTGACTCCTGGGCGCAGCAGTACGACTACCAGTAGTTGTTGTTGCAACAGCCGTCGTCGTTGCTCAGTGCATGAGGCCACGAGCCACCGAACTCTTCTATCGCATGCACCCCCGAATTGCAGAACGTGGAGGAACTTACAGGTGTCGTGACTTGGAGAATTATTGCAGTGCGAGTCCAGAAGCGAGATCGGTCACGCGATCCACTAGAAGCCGAACATGCGTATGCCCACCCATGCGCAGGAACATAACCTTTGGGTTGGATGATGGTCGAAGAGCAGGTTGGATTTCCATGTCTGGGGCTGCTGTGAAGGATCTTCGGGATTCACGGCGCGCAGTCTCCGACCACCTCGCTTCGATACTTCAGCCAATTCGGCGGCAGTTACCTCCGCATCGCATCCCCCAAACCACGTTCGAAGTAAGCCCACGGTGGAAGTCGCGCTGCTGTTCCAGGCAAGAGTGGCCGACCCAGACAGATCACCGACTCCACGTCGGCGTTCAGTCCTGGTGCCGCTGACAGCTGCCTCCCACGGCTATGTTGGATCCAATCATTCCGATTCCATATCGATTTCGGCTAGCCCGATCCGATTCAACTTCGGTATCCGCTCTGGCCCGATGTTTGCATGGTGGTGTTGTGCATCTCGGCGCAGCCAAACCGATTCGATTCCGGTTCCGTGCCGATGCAAGATGATTCGACGCAGATTCCGACCCGATGCGGTTTGTCGATTCGATGTCGATTGATCCTAACAAGGTTTTGGAGCGGACGAGAGGGGAGCAGAGGAAGGAGGAAGGTACTAATACTAGTCTTGTTTTTGTTCCTCCCTTCGTTGCTCCCTCCTCGTCCGCGCCAGCGTCTTCCCTTCACCTGGGCGAAAGGGGCGATGGCGGTCCCGCTGCAGGACAGCCTGCCGACTCCATAGTCGCATCTCTAACGTTGGCATCGCGTCATTGGGCTCTTGATGCTTGGGGGAAGAAAAAAGGATCTTGGCCAGGTTCTCGAGGAGGGGCTCTCGGAGCTCTCGGAGGCCGTCGGTGCAGCCCGGATGCGCGCACACCCAGGAGTCGTTCGCGGATGGCCACGGCCTCGGCGCCGCCGATCCCCTTGAGGACGGCGGGGGAGTGGGGGAGGGGGGATGGAGCAGAAGGAGAGAAGGGAGGGGGGGGGAAGGGGAAGGAGGGGAGGCAGGGAAGGACTGAAGGAGGAGGGAGATAAGGTTTTACTGCGGCCAGATGGGCTTTTGTGCGGCCCGGTGGGCTTTAGCACGGCCAAGAGGTTTTCGGAGTATATCGACTACACGTACGAGTGACCCTTCGCCAGAGTGACCTTTGGTGCTGGCCCAAAGGGGGTCGGGTGATTTTTCTTTTGGAATGAGCTTGACCTCGCGTCGGCACCCGCATCGCGTGATTACGCTCGCATCTGAGCGCGCCAGATTTGGGCCCACCCCTTGCATGCAATCCACAGCAACGCATACGCGTCGCACTCTACAGTTTGCATTGGTTACCCGAGGGGGAGCCGGTCGACCAGACGGCGCGTTTTCCAGACCAGGACCAGTCCCGAATCCCAGCCCAAATCCCAAAACATCTGGCTTGAATTATATATTCGAATATGTTTGGCAAAGCTTGAATATCTTTCAACATGTTTGAATATGATTTGCGAACAAATGGGGATCTGTACCATTATAAGTTACCCAAGGACATTCAAGTAGATTCCAGGTTTTCGGATGGGACTGGTTCTGGCCATGACGCCGGGCCTGGTCAGATGCAGCCCGGCAGTGCCAGACCTCATCGCGGCCCCAGCAGCGTCTGCTTCCGCAGCGCCTTCGAAGTGCCATTCGGGGCGTTCGAGTTCAAGTGGCGGAATTCCGAAGGTGCCCGCTGGCACAAAGAATCATTCGAGCAGCGCCCCGCCGATCCTTAATGCGGCTCGGCCACGCCAGCTTGCGCGATTGCGTTGGCCCCCCACGGGCGCCCCTGAAGCCGCGCACCAAGGGTCATGTCTAGCCCAGGGTCACTCCTACGTGTAGTCGAGTCTACAAGTCCTTGGGTACGGTGAAGGCCCCCTGAAGGGTTTCTTGGCCCCCCTGCAGGCCTCCTTGGCTTTTCAGAGGGGGCTATGATCGCCCAAGAGGCCCCATGATGGCCCCAAGAATGAGGGCCCACGAGGGGGAACGCGAATCGACAATTCGAGCCTTTGCCCCAGGAGGCACCCTGGATGCCCCAAGGGGCGCCTAAGGGATCTCCAGAGGCCCCCTAGAAGAGGCCCCACGAGGCCCCCGAGAGGCCGAAAAAGAGGCCCCCAGAGGCCCCCAAGAGGCTTCCAAAACTGCCTCCACGAGGCCCCCGGCAGGCCTGCCACGACATCCAAACGAACTTCCAAGAGGCCTTCTGACCCACAACCCAGGCAAGGTGGCGGGATGGGCCGAAGGCCACATAGACGGTCCTAGATGCCCAAGACGGCCCCCAGACAGCCGGCCCAAGAGGCCCCAAGCTACCCAAGAGGCCTCCAAGAGGCTTCCCAAGAGAGCTTGAAGAGGCCAACAAACATTCGTTTTCCATGGGTTTTTGAACGGCTTTGGCGTGTCCGCTTGTCACGGAGGAGACGGGGTAGACGGATCAGGCGTTGCATCTGTCCTCACATGTTTGTCGCCGTTTCTGCGCTCCCGAGGAAGGAGCAGGAGGTTAACATATTTTGAATACCTCGCACGGCAGTGGGCATCTGAGAAGAACGGTGGTCGTTGGCGCCACGATGTGGTCCACGTGTTGCCGGGCGGGGGTTATCCCGCCGCTGGCGGCTACTACTCTGCGTGCTCCAGCCCAATGACACAGACTGTGAGTTCTTCGCACGGCATTCTGCATCTTAGAGGAATGGTGGCGTCCTGCCGTCCCCAGGCATTTGTCATGGTGACTGTTGCGCACGGCAGTGGGCATCATAGCATAATGGTGGCCGTTGGCGCCGCGATTGGTCCACGCATGGCTGGCTGGACGGGGGCTGTCCCGCCGTTGGCGACCATCACTGTGCATGCTCCCGCCTTTGTTCAACATAACCAAACATGGCCTTCAGCGAGCGACGACGACGACGACGACGACGACGATGATGATGATGATGATGATGATGATGATGATGATGATGATGATGATGATGATGGTGATGATGATGATGGCGATGATGACCATGATGATCATGTCCGTGCAGATGGTGATGGTGACCATGCTGACCATGATAACCACGAAGATCATCACAATGTAGCTGATCATGCTTGTTTTCATGAAAATGATACTCCTCCCCTCCCCCTTCTCCCTCTCACCTCCTTGACGTCCTGCTGACGGAGGAGGAGGAGGCAGGAGGAGAATGAGGAGGATCAAGAGGATAAGGACGAGCATGGTTTTGGTGTTCATGCCGATCGTGCTGCTGATGATGCTGTTGCTGTTGATGATGATGCTGGTGGTGCCGATGCTGATGCTGAAGCTGAGTCTGATGATTGGGAGGACGATTTTGATTACGACGATGACGATGATGATGATGGCGATGATGATGATGATGATGATGATGATGATGATGATGATGATGATGATGATGGTGATGATGATGGTGATGATGATGATGATGATGGTGACAACGGCGATGACTGCGATGACGATGGCGATGACGATGGTGATGACGATGCTGATGCTGATGCTGATGATGATGATGATGATGATGATGATCAGCATCACCATGATCATGACGATAATGGTCCTGATATCCACATCATGATGATGATGCTGATAACGATGATGACGATAGTGATGATGATGACAACGGCGGTTACGACGATGACGATGGTGATGATCATCATCATCATCATCATCATCATCACCACCATGATAATGTCAATGCTGATCCTGATGCTCATGGTGATGATGATAACGAAGCTGATGACGATGATGATGATGATGATGATGATGATGCTGATGATCATGATGACCATGATGATCATGATGCTCGTGTCCGTGCGGATGGTGATGCTGGCCATGCTGATCATGATAACCACGAAGATCATCGTACACATGATGATCATGATGTGCATCATGAAAATGATACTCCTCCCCTCCCCCTTCTCCCTCTCACCTACCTGACTCCCTGCTGACGGAGGAGGAGGATGGAAGGGGTCTTTCTGCTGACGAAGGAGGAGGAGGATCAAGAGCAAGCGGACGAGCATGATTTTGGTGCTCATGCCGATCGTGTTGCTTATGATGATGTTGGTTTCGATGATGCTGATGGTACCGATGCGGATGCTGCAGCTGAATCTGATTATTACGAGAACGATGCCGATGACGACGATGACGGTGACGACGGCAATGATGCTGATGATGACGATGATGTTGATCATGATGATGATGATGATGATGATGATGATGATGATGATGATGATGATGATGATGATGATGATAATCATGATGATGGCTGATGATGATGGCACCAACGGCGGTCACGACGATTACGATGATGATGGCGATGCTGATGATGATGATCAGCATCATGGTGATCATGTCCGTGCAGATGGTGATGATGACCATGCTGATCATGATAATCACGAAGATCATCACAATCATGATGATCATGATCATCACCATGATTATGGTATTTCTCCCTTCCCCCTTCTCCCTCTCACCTCCCTGACGTCCTGCTGACGAATGAGGATGGAGGAGGATTATCTGCTGACGGAGGAAGGGGATGCGGAGGATCAAGAGGATGAGGACGAGCATGGTGTTGGTGCTAATTCCGATCGTGCTGCTGACGATGATGCTGTTGTTGATGATGCTGGTGGTGCCGATGCTGATGCTGCAGCTGAATACGATGATTCAGAGGACGATGCCGATGACGACGATGACGATGTCGACGACGATGACGATGACGATGACGATGGTGATGATGATGACGATGATGGTGGTGATGGTGATGGTGATGGTGATGATGATAACGATGATGATGGTGGCGCCTCCAGATGGTCCTTTGTGCGGCCACCTTCTCCTCTCCAGTGTAAGGAAGGAAACCATGACATTTTACTTTTAAGTGAAGGGCCAGCGCGGGCCGCAGTAAGACCCACTTGGCCGCGCGCCGGGCCGCAGAAAAACCCAACGGGCCGTACAAAAGAGGAGGAGGAGGAGACAGAGGACAAGTGCAAACCCAAGACTCATCAACGATGTTGGAACACACCCTCCCTCCAAGCTCCCTCTTGATAGATCCATACAAGGATTCATGCCCACTGAGGGGATCGGATCCTGAAGCTTGCCAAAACGCTATTCTTGGGACTCCAACGCCACGAATCAACCTGACTGCTGCGTCTTGACGGTCTTGAATGGCGCCAGAACGCAGTTCCTGAGACTTCCACGCCGCGAATCAAGGTAGCTGCTGCGCTCTGACAACCCTGAACTGCTCCGAAATTTTATACCTGGTACGTTGACCATGAGAACCCGTGAAACCCTTGCACATTTCTATAACGTATGTCGGCGGCGCTGCCCGTGAAGCTCTTCCAAGTTTTGAAGACGGATGCGCGCGGCGCTAAGACGAGAGCCACATGTTGAGCACCGCCTGCCCTCCATTCGTTAACTCGTGCAACTTGTTCGGGCGGATGTGCGCGGCGCTAATACGAGAGCCACATGTTGAAAACGACCCGTCCTCCATCCGCGAAATTCTTGCAAAGATTGAATCGGATGTGCGCGGGGCGCTAAGGCGACCATCCGTGAAGCTGTTGCAAATCGTGAGCCTGACGGATCATGCGTGGTGAGGAAGTCTCAGGCGGAACGCCCAGCCCGCCCTTCCGACCGGCTTCGGGGTGCGGCAGGGAGGAGATGGAGGAGAAGGAGGAGGAGGAGGAGGAGGGAGGAGGAGGGAGGAGGAGGAGGAGGGAGACGGGGAGGAGAAGGCGACTGACCAGCTCTCACTTGAGGGTCATCCCAATGGCCAGAATCGCCCACACGGCCCCACTTCTTCTCCCCCTCTCCCTGCCGTTCTCTCATCCTCTCTCCCTTCCTGCTGCTCTTCTCCCGGGGTGCTGCGTTGACCTTTCTGGGCTTTGGCGGTCCCTTGCCCTC